GTCACCTTTGACGAGTCTGTCTCCTTCTACCGCCGCGTCCCTCACCGAGGTCTCCCGGTTGCCCCCCCCTTGTTCCTTGCTCCCTCTCCCCGGAAGCCCCTGCCCCTCTCCCGCCTCGTCCTGCCCCGTCTGGTGTCTCTTACGTCACTCCCCTCCCGTCGGTTGTCCCCGTTGAGGAGTCTGCTGACTCTGGTGGTACCCCCGGCCCGTCCTTGCCGCGTCCCTCTTCCCCGGTGTCCCCGCCTCCATTGTCGCAGTCGCCGTCCCCGCCGCAGCTGCCGCTGCCGTTGCCGCCGCCGCCGTCGCAGCTGCCGCCACCGTCGCCGCCGCCGCCGTCGCAGCTGCCGCTGCCGCCGCCGCCGTCGCCGCCGCTATTGTCGCCGCCACTGCCGCGGCCGCTCTTGGCCCCTGGGGGTGCTGGTGTTGAGGAGTGTGTTCGTCCGGCGGCTCCTAGGGGTGCTGCTGGTGTTGGAGGGGGTTCTCGCTCTGGGGGTGTTGGTTCTGGGGGTGCTGCTGTTGAGTGTTATGCCGACGGTCGTTCTGCCTCTGCTGGTCCGAGAGTTCCGGCCCAGCCGTCGTCGCCGCCGCAGCAGCCGTCGCCGCCGGTTTCCGCTCTCCGCCTGCTCGGCCTTCCCTCCCCGGACCGCGCGCCGGTGTCTCCCCCACCGCCTCCTGACCTTCCTGTCTACGGTCCTGTGTTCCTGCCGCCGGACTCGTCTCCGGCCCGTCTTCCTCCTCGTTCCCCACCTGTGTGCCCTCCGCTGTCCCCTGACCCTACACCTCCGTCTCACGTTTGGTCTCGCCGTCCCTCCCGTGCTCGTCCCGTCTCTCCTGTCCTACCCACCCACCCTATGTTGCTCCGTTCCCGCTCGTCTCGTCCTCCCCTCCTCCCGTCCCCTCCTCCCTCGTCCCTTGCTGTTGCCCCTCCTCCGCTCTCTGACTACCTCCGTGCCACTCGTCCCTTTGTCCCTCGGGTCCTTGCCTCTCTCGTTACCGACCCTGCTGTTCCTGTCTCGCGCCTTGACGCGCTTGTCGCTGCTGTCGCTGACTTTGCCTCTACCCGCCGCCTTGACTACGCTACCGCTCTGGTCTCTAACCCTGCCCGTCCTCAGTCCGTCGGGGGTGCTCCTGCCCTTAGCAGTGACGTCCTAGAGGACAGGCAGTACGAGCTTGCTTTCCTTTCGGAGGCTGCTCCCCATCTCTGCTCCATGCTGTTAGTCCCTGAGGGTGACCCAGACGCCTTCGACATCCCGACCCCTCGCACCTACACTGAGGCCACCTCGGGACCCTGGGCCTCTTAGTGGATAGCTGCCATGGAGCAGGAGAAGGCATCTTGGAGGTCCACCGGCACTTACGTCGACGCAGTTCCCCCGCCTCGGGTGAACGTAGTTGATGGTCGGTGGCTCTTCAAGGTGAAGCGCCCCCCTGGAGAGCCACCTGTCTTCAAGGCGCGCTACGTGGCCAGAGGCTTGAGCCAGCGCGAGGGGGTTGACTTCTTCCAGACCATCGCCCGGACCCCGAAGATGACCACTCTTCGGGCGCTGCTACACGTAGCAGCACAGCGCGACTACGAGCTTCACTCCCTCGACTTCTCTACAGCCTTTCTTTAGGGCAGCCTACACGAGCAGGTCTACCTGCGTCGACCTCAGGGCTTCACTAGTACCTTCCCCCCTGGGACCCTGTGGCTTCTCCGGCGCCCGGTCTACGGCCTGCGTCAGGCTCCTCGCGAGTGGCACGACACGCTGCGTGCCACGCTAGCAGACCTGCAGGTCTTTCCGTCCTCTGCTGACCCCTCGCTGTTTGTGCGTTCCGGCCAGACTCCGTTCTACATCCTTGTCTACGTAGACAACCTGGTCTTTGCTACTGCTGACAGGGACGCACTGGCCTCTGTGAAGGCTGAGCTGCTGAAGAGACACACGTGCACTGACCTTGGAGAGCTGCGTCGCTATCTTGGCCTGCAGATCTCCAGGGACAGAGCAGCACGCACCATCACTCTGACTCAGTCACACTTGGTGCGTCAGGTCCTTCAGAGGTTTGGTCTTCAGTTCTCCTCCGCACAGCCCACACCTCTACCTGTAGACCGTGGGCTCTCCGCTCCCGTTCCTGAGGAGCTTGTAGAGCCCAGTGGCCCCTACGCAGAGCTCGTGGGTTGCCTCATGTACCTGATGACTTGCACTCGCCCAGATCTCGCATACCCTCTCAGCATCCTGGCTCGCTTTGTGGCTACAGGCAGACACCGACCTCAGCACTGGTCTGTCGCTAAGAGGGTTTTGCGTTATCTTGCTAGTACATCGGGCATGGGGTTAGTGCTAGGAGGACGCAGGCTAGTGGTCCTTACTGGGCACACAGACGCTTCTTGGGCAGACGACTCTGAGACGCTCAGGTCGTCGCAGGGCTACTGCTTTAGCCTTGGTTCGGGTGCTATCTCTTGGAGATCCACTCGCTCATCGTCTGTGGCTCAGTCCAGCTGTGAGGCTGAGATCTACGCTGGTGCCATGGCGGCACAGGAGCTCCGCTGGCTGACCTTCTTGCTTACTGACTTAGGTGAGCGGCCTAGCTCTGCCCCGGTCCTGTACGCTGACAACAGGGCCATGATACTCCTGTGTCAGGAGCCTCGGCTTGAGGGCAGAGCAAAGCATATTCAGCTGCGGTACTTCCTCCTGCGCGAGCTACAGCAGCGCCGCCAGGCCCGTGTAGTTCACTTGGCCTCAGGTGCCAACACAGCTGATATCATTTCTAAGGCGCTTGCACCTAAAGATCATCAGCGGCACTGTGTACAGCTTGGTCTTGTTCCTGTAGCTACTCACCTGTTAGGATCCTGATTGTGTACTCTATTATATATGCCTGTCAGACTGGCCTTGTGGCCTTACCTCCAGTGGCTGGACTAGTAGTGCCGCCCTGGCTTGCTTTAGTCTTGTTTGTACCCTTGCTGACTGGTCTCCAGACCCCTGCCTCAGTGGTTGGACTAGTAGTGCCACCCTGAGCTGTTTGCTTCTTGCTTAGCTTCACCCCTTGTCTAGCCTAGGGGGTGTGTCAACTTATACATGTTAGCTGTGTACAGGTTATAGGCTAGACTGGGGTATGCTTCTAGTGAGTACAACCAACTAGTATTTGTACTAGGTTTCTGCTTCTAGTTCACAATTCAGTTCTTACTTTGACAGAATGAAGTCGAATGGATGGAACTCTAGAGGTTGTGGAGGGGGGGAATGGTGACGGCAGACAGGAGGAGGAATGAGGTTGAGCACAAGGCTATGTTTCCCAGGATTTGGCATTCTGTGGAAGACAAGTCGCATCCAACGCAGGCCTGTCGCTATCAGGGTATTTTACCATGATTCTCTGATTTCACAGGGTATGTTTTTTGCCAACCCTTAGTTTTCAGGGTTGGGCTTTTTTTAACCCTAACCTCTTCAGGGTTGTATGTCTGTGAACACTTAGAATTTCAGGGTTTGCGTTATCCCAAAACTGAGTTTTCAGGGAGTAACGCGTACGAACCCTGAGTGCGACATCCATGTAGCTCACAATGCGAAAATTTAGTCGAAGTCCCCAATCTCGAGAGACATTCCCCCCCACACACAACAAGCAACCCACAAAAATCGGCTAAGTCATGTGTCGTACAGACATCCCCCCTACACACCTAACAACAACCCACAAAATTAGCTAAGTCTTGATAGGCAGTGACAGCACAAAAAAAAACGGCTTAGTCCTATTGTACACAAGTTATCCCCCCTCCCACACTCCCACAACCAGGGCTCGCCACCCCCCTACCAGCAACCCTGTCAACCCTTGTTTTGCGTTGATAAATCTGGGAAACGGGGAAGCCATTCCTAAAAATCGAGGGGGTAAAATCGCACTGCCACGGAAATCGAAACTGAGGGGAGGGGGAATCGAAACCGACGGGGAAATGGGGAGGGAATCAAAATGGGGGGGAGGGGGGAAGCGAAACGGAGGGGAGAGGGGGGGAACGTGGGGGGGGGGGGGTCGAAACAGAGAGGTTGGGGGAAGCGAACAGAGGGGAAGGGGGAAGTGATCGAAACGGAGGGGAGGGGGGAATCGAAAATGGAGGGGAAGGGGGGAATCGAAATGGCAGGAAGGGGGGAAGCTGGGGCATAGGGGGTGGGAGAAATTTCGCGCCCTTGCAGCGCCCTGGTTGGGAAATCCTGGACGTTAATCATTACCTACCATCGAACGATTGATATTTGTCGAAATGATCGCAAACGATCGTGACCGTTACATTTTGTTAGACTTTCAGTTGACCAAATGGGCAACTGGCGAGAATTTCCCTATGTTTAAAATGCGGAATTTACCCTCCCCCCCCCCCCCCCCCACTTTTTCCCTCCCCGTTTCGCTTCCTCTCTTCCCCTATGTTTCCATCCTCCCCCTTCCCTTCCGTTTCGCTCTTCCCCTCCCCTCGGCTTGATTCCCTCCCCCTTTTTCCCCCATTTTTTATTCCCCCCTCTTGTTGAAAGTAACCCTGAACGCGTTTGTTGCTCAGCAATGCAACCCTGTTTGTGGCTAGCCAACCCTGGAGGTTTTAGGGTTGTAAGTTCCAGAACACTGAGAAATCAGGGAAGCTAAAATTCCAGCACAAGGCCCTCAGGGTAATTTTTTTTTCCCATTCGACAGCTCAGGGTGCTTTTTTTTTAAACGACAGCCCTGATCCAACGGCTTACATGCACAGTTACAAATGGTTACCGTTTGCCAACAGACATTCGTGAATCATCCTTGGAGTTGGTTTTGCGGGTTGAAGTTCTTCGAAGGTGGTTGACAGCAGGTCACCCCAGCTGGTGTCACCATTGCGTGGCAACAGCAGATTCGATTATCCGGATGATCACGGTACCGGTTCATCTGAGCCTAAAGATAGGTGCGTTCTGTCCGTTAGGCTTTCTCCCTAAGACGAAATCATGGCCCCTTGGAGAAACGACTGCCCTAGTGCCGAGGGCAGCCATCAGGCACCAGTTGGTCCTTGCCCAAAGGCAGGTGGTCCTCTGGCAGGTCGGCTGGTTCCCCCCCTTGCGTGTCACTTGAGGCTTCTCAAGAAAGCAACCGCCAGACCGCCTGTGCTAGTCATAACCCACCGGGTTGGTCCTGTGGCAGACGGTCCTCTGTCCAATTAGCCAGTCCACTCTCCATGTAGCATTAGAGCCACCTCATGAGAGCCACCTCATGAGAGCCACCTCATGAGAACCACCTCATGAGAACCACCGCCACAGGGCCCGCGCTACCCATGAGGCACCGGGCTGGTCCTTGCCCCATGGCGGGTGGTCCTCTGTCCAATTGGCAGGTGGCCGTGGCTTCCACCCTGGGATCTCATCGTTAAAGAAATCATACCAGATATGGCCTGGGGAAGAGAGGGACGAGGGAGGGGGAACGCATGGGGAAAAGTGGGTGTCTGAGGGCCTGCCTCTAGAGGACGCCCTCCTCCGTCCAGTTGGCTGGTGATTGTGGCTACCACCCCGGGATGTCATCGTTGAAGGAATCGTACGAGATGTGACCCGGGGTGAGACAGGCAGGACAGGAGACAGCAAGGTGATATCATGGGAGCTGCGGCCCGAGGGCTGTAGCTTCCACCCCAGCATCTCATCGTTGAAGAAAACTACCAGATGTGACCTGAAGGGGGGGAGAGACGCATGGGGAAAAGTGGGGAAAAGGTCCTTCCCCTACAAAAAGAGAGCCGCCCTTGGACCAGTTTGCTGGAGGTCGCCGTGGCTTCCAACCCGGCATCTCACCGTTGAGACAATCGCACCAGACGAAACCTGGGGGGAACAGATGGGAAAGGGGGGGTGTCAGGGTTAAGGTTTGCTGAGCCATCAGGTGGTTGTATCCCCGGAATCTTAACGTACAAGACAAGTAGCAGATGCGACATGACAGAAACAGACAGGGCAGGGAGGAATAAGGCACTTGCTCTTGAAACTTACCTGGCTGTGCATTCACGCAGCACGACGTGCCCATATACTGCCTTAGCCTCCACCTGAACTTCTTCTCCATTCCCTTTACACGCAGCAAGGAAACACCAGGATAGAGGATGGAAAGACAAGGGGGGTCGGGAAAGGGAGAACTTGTGGGACGAGTCGAGTCAAGATGGCCACATACTGCCCTAGACTCCACCTGAACTTCTTCTCCATTCCCTGTACACGCCGCAGCAAGGGCACGGATGGAGGGACAAGGGGAGCAGATAGAGGGTCAGATGTGAGGCGAGAGGAACACCGCAGAGGTGATGAAAGACAGCAGGGGGGTGACGCGAGACGGCAGCTGCTAAGATGGCTCGGATGATAGGCAAGATGCGCTTGGAGTCGACTCAAAACACACCAGGATTTGAAAGGCACAAGGGGAGGGGACGCAAGATGGTAGCTGGGGAGATGGCTCGGATGTTAGGCAAGACGCCGGAAAGCAACACCAGAGGGGTTATGAATACACACAGGGAGGAGATGCAAGAGGAGATAGCAGCAGAACAGTGGTTAACAGAGAGGGGATGAGGGGGCGGGGAGAGGAGTGGGGGGGAGGGGAGGGGAGGGGAGGGGAGGGGAGGGGAGAGGAGAGGAGATGGGACGGGAGGGAGGAGGGGAACGCGAAGAGGGACATCCTACCTTATCATCCCACCCTCCAAACGAATCCACCATCGAAGAAAACTCGATCCATTTTACGTCTGCGTACTGCGATAGTGCTGCCTTGAGCTGGCAAGATGATGTTAGGTAGGAAGAAAGGAAGGAAGGAGGGGGGGAAAGGGGGGGGAGGGGAAGGGGGGGAAAAGGGAATGGAGAAACGGAGGATTGGGGATGGCAATGACAGGAGCCATAGAAGGAGGATAAGAAGGCCATGAACAATAAAGGGCTTTCCATACACGCCCCCCTCGAAGGCTTTCCCTGCGCGCCCCCTTGCGGGCTTTGCATGCATCCCCCCCATGCATCCCCCCCCATACAACCCCCCCATGCATCCCCCCCATGCATCCCCCCCCATACAACCCCCCCCATGCATCCCCCCCCCATGCATTCCCCCCCATGCCAACCCCCCCAAGCAAAACCCCCACGCATTCTTCCCCCATGCATCCCCCTCCCATGCATCCCCCCCCATGCATCCCCCCTCCATGGCCCATGCATCTCCCCCATGCATCCCGCCCCATGTCAAACCCCCCAAGCAGAACCCCCACGCATTCTTCCCCCATGCATCCCCCCCATGCAACCCCCCATGCATCCCCCCCCCATGCATCCCCTCCCCCATGCATCCCCCTTCATGCATCCCCCCCATGCATCCCCCCCCATGCATGCCCCCATGCACCCCCCCCAATCCATCCACCCCCCCCATGCATTCCCTCCCATGCATTCCCCCCCATGCATCCCCCACCCATGCCCCCCCTCATGCACCCCCCCCATGAATCTCCCCCCCATGCACCCCTCCCCATGCATCCCCCCTCCATGCATTCCCTCCCCATGCATCCCCCTGCTTGCACCTCCCCCCACGCATCCCGCTCCATGCACCCCCCCCCCCCTATGCACCCTTCCCCTTGCGGCCCCCCCACATGCATCCTCCCCCATGCATCCCCCCCTACGCACTCCCCCCATGCATCCCACTGCATGCATCCCCCTGGATGCATCCAATCCCAATGCATCCCACGCACCCATCCCCCCCATGCATCCCCCCACATGCATTACCCCGCTTGCATCCCTCCCCATGCATCCCCCACCCATGCATCCCCCCCATGCATCCCCCACCCATGCACCCCCCCCATGAATCTCCCCCCCATGCACCCCTCCCCACCCCATGCATCCCCCCACATGCATCCTCCCCAATGCAAATTCCCCCCATGCATTCCCCCCCATGCATTCCCCCCCATGCATTCCCCCCCATGCATCCCGCTCCATGCATCCCCCCTCTATGCACCCCCCCATGCACCCTTCAACTTGCAGCCCCCTCACATGCATCCTCCCCCATGCATCCCCCCCTATGCACTCCCCCCATGCATCCCACTGCATGCATCCCCCCCCCCATGCATCCCACTGCATGCATCCCCCCCCCATGCATCCCACCCCATGCCTCTCCCCCCATGCATCCCCCCCCATGCATTACCCTGCATGCATCCCTCCCCATGCATCCCCTCCATGCACCCCCACCCATGCATCCCCCCCATGCATCCCCCACCCATGCATCCCCCCCCATGCATGTCCCCCCATGCAAACCCCCATGCATTCCCTGTATACATTCCCCCCCATGTATTCCCCCCCCTCCCTGGACACCCCCCCCATGCATCCCCCCCATGCATCCCCCCCCTAAACCCCCCCCATGCATCCCCCCCAATGCATCCCCCCCAATGCATCCCCCCCTTGCATCCCCCCCCAATTCATTCCCCCCCATGCATACCCCCCCATGCATCTCCCCCCATGCACACCCCCCATGCATGCCCCCCAATGCATCCCCACTCATGCATCCCCACCCATGCATCTCGCCCCGTGCATCTCCTCCATGAATCCCCCCCCTGCATCCCTCCCCCTGCATCCCCCCCAATGCATCCCCCCCATGCATCCAGCCCATGCATCCACCCCCATGCACCCCCCTCCAAGCACCCCCCCCAAGCACCCCACCCCCTCAATGCATCCCCCCCCCCATGCACTTCACCGAATGCACCCCCCAATGCAACCCCCCCCCATGCCCATGCATCCCCCCCCAAGCATCCCCCCCCATGCATCCCCCCACATGCATCCCTCCCCATGCATCTATCAGAACTTGATTGATTGAAATGAGCAAGAGCATACATCCTTAAGTACCAAGCATCGGAGAGGATTGGAAGGGATAAGGGAGAATCGGAGGGAATCCCAAGGGAATCCTCCCAACCCAAATCGTGGGGATTTGGGATGGATTGGGTTGGGATAGGTTGGGGATGAAAACATAGCTACACCCAACCTAACAAATGTGCGTATCCCTAAAACCAACAAAGTGCCAACACACAAAGTTGAACCAACCGAATTGCAGCCTATGTGTAACAGCATCCCCCCCCATGCATTCCCGCCAATGCATCGCCCCCCATGCATTCCCGCCCATGCATCTGTTAGAATATAACATTCTCTTTCTCTTCATCTTTGGGCATGTATAACCAAGTTGGGTTATCTAAGGGTGTCGATGAAAGTTGGGGTTGGATATTCAACCAACCCTTGACCCCAACTATCGAGGTGATCTGTCTTCTTGGTCTTCCCCCAACATTATTGGCTCCTCAATCATTGGTGGTCCAACCAATAATGTTTGGATTGGTCAAACCCCCCCTTGACCTAGGATTGGCTCCCTAGGTATGTAACCCTGTATCACCCCCTCTATAGTTTTTCACTCTACCGTTTTCTAACAACAGCCCCCCCCATGCACCCACCCACTTCCATGCATCCACCCCTGTGCACGCAACCCCACGCATCCACCCTGTGCATTCCCCTCTCCATGCATCCACCCTCATGCACCCATGCACCCATGCACCCATCCCCCCATGCACCCAACCCCATGCATCCACCCCCATGCGCCCTCCCCCCCTCCCATGAAACCCCCCCCCCCCCCCCCCTTCCTGCATCCCCCCACATGCACCCGCCCCCCATACACCCAACCCCATACATCCACTCCCATGCACCCACCCACCACCATGCATCCACCCCCATGAACCTACCCCCATGCACCCACCACTACGCATCCCCCCTCATGCATCCCCCCAATGCATTCCCCTCCCCCTTCATGCATCCCCCTTGTGCATCCCCCCCCATGCATCCCCGCCCATGCACCCCGCTATGCAATGCATCCCCCCCGATGCATCCCCCCCCATACATTCCCCCCCATACATCCCCCCATACATTCCCCCCATACATCCCCCCATACATCCCCCCTATACATCCCCCCATACATCCCCCATACATCCCCCCCATACATCCCCCCTACATTCCCCCCATACATTCCCCCCATACATTCCCCCCATACATTCCCCCATACACTCCCCCCATACATTCCCCCATACACTCCCCCCATACATTCCCCCCATGCACCCCCCACCTGTTGAAGCCCGCTTCCCTCCACCTCATCCCAATGCCCACCCTTCACACCCTTGCCACCCATGCCACAATTCCCCTCACTTAGCTTGGATCGGCCTCGCACATGTCGCTGCCTCACCTCATTCTGCTGTGGCGACTTCTTTATTCGGATCTTGTCAGTAGGAGGGTCTGGTGTGAGAGGACAGTCAGGAGAGCCTTCGTTGCACAGCTCCACTGCGAGCTTTGACTTGAGCAGCTGAGGGGGATAGGGGACAGGATCAAGGAGACGGGGGCTGATTAGATAGTGCTTGCTTGGAGTGAGGCAGTCGGGGAGCCTTCGCCGCACAGCTCCACTGATAGCTTCGACTTGAGCAGCTGAAGGGGCGAAAAGGGGGCGGGTGAGGAAAAGGGGAGAAGTCAAGAGGACAGGAGGGTGGTCAGAAGGGGTGTGGCGTGAGAGTTCAGCCGGGGGAGCCCTCACCACATAGCTCGACCGAGAGCTTCGACTTGAGCAGCTGAGGGGAAGAGGGCCAGGATGGAGAGCAGTCGGGAAGGGAAGTGGTCAGATGGTTTCTGGGGGTTCTGGAGGAGTGGTGGAGTGGTGTTTTTGTGGCTTCTGCGCTGCTCGTAGGTTGTTAAGGAATGAGTGCTCTCATATATTCGGCACAGCAGGGCCAAACTCGTCCTTCTTCAGGTGCGGGCTGCTGCTGCTGCTGCTACCGCTGCGGTGTGTGCTGTGAGCTGTGTGGTGCGTAGGCTTACCGCTTGTGGTGTGCGATGCGGGTTGTCAAGGAAGGAGTGCTCTCATATCGGCACAGCAGGGCCGAACTCGTCCTCCTTGAGCTTCCCCGGCAGCATTCGTAGCACCTCCACCAGGTGGTAAAAGGACGACAGGAAACAGGAACGGGTTGGCACTGCTGATGTGTGCGTGCTGTGAGCTGTGTGTGCGCATGGACTTGAGCTTCCCTGGCAGCATTCGCTGCACCTCCACCAGGTGGTCCAGGGGGAGGGGGGAGAGGAACGACAGAACCCTCGCATACCAACGGTACTTACCACCTGTGGAATTGTCGGGTTGTCAAGGAACGAATGCTGGTGGAGATGCAACGTACGTCCCAGAGGCTACTAACCGCCTGGGGTGTCCGCGGGTTGTCAAGAAAGGAGTACTCCCGAATGGGCACAGCAGGGCCGAACTCGTCCTCCTTGAGCTTCCCCGGCAGCATGCGCTGCACGTCCACCAGGTGGTCCAGGGGCGACAGGAACGGCTGTGGTGTGTCAGTGCCTTCTACAATCCCTAGGTGTGGGAACCAGAGTCGGTCAAACCGGACCCATGTGGCTGGGAGCACCTGAGAAGAAAGGCAGGGCGAAGGATTTGTGGGGAGGGGAAGGGAGCAGATGACTCGGCTGTATCTGCAGCAGGGCAAAGGAAAGCGGTTGCGGGGACAGCAAGGTTCGCTGCACCACCATGTGGTCAACTAGATTCGGTGAAAGCACACCCATGTGGTGGGTAGTACCTGCGGGGAGAGGCAGGCCGATATTTAAAGGCGGAGTTGGAACAGAAAGGAAGCGGCTGAACCCTCTTCACCTCCAGAAGGGCAAACACGTTGCTGGGATGGGAAGGCTCACTCACTGCACCTCCACTCCAATGCTCGACCCGGTGGTCCAGGGGGGAGAAATGAGGCAGCTATTTTGTAAGGCGCCCCTGAAGTAACCTCCAGCAGGGCAAAGGCGTTGCTGGGATGAAAAGCTCACTTCATCCTCCACAGGGTCGACAACAGGGCCGACAAATGAGGCATCTACTTTTTAGATGCCTGTTAAAACAGCCAGACTAGAGGCTAAGAGGCAGAGGGGGCAGACTAACCAGCGTTCGGTTGAGTATGGTTGCAATGGCGAGAGCTGATCTGAGATTGGTTAGCTGCAAGACGGGAGCACGGAGAGGCACAGAGAAGCAGGGGAGAAGCACAGAGAGGCACAGAGGGGAATTGTAAAAAACAATACCAACTCGTTGACAAGGTTGAAATGGGTTTGCAGGGAGTGATCCCCCGCAGTCAGCAGCAGCTGGGGCTTGACCCGACAGCAAGGTAAAAAAAAACGGTGTGTTTTTTTTTTTTCTTTTTTAGACCGTTTGTTACGGTCCCGTATTTTTCGGCTGTATTAAACGGTTTAAAACGGTTCTGAAAGTTAGCTTTTCTTTGGTTGAAAAAAATGGTTGTTTTATACGGTCGAAGTTTTAAAATCGTGGGTGTACTGCACCAACTCGAATTTGACACCGAATTCGAACGGCTGGGTATACACCCAACCGTCCCTGAATGTTCGGTCAACACATTCCCGAAGCGCGAAATTTCGCGTGTCCCGAGGAGCGCATTTTGGAATTCTCGCCAGACCTGTTGCGAAACCAAAATCGGTTTCGCAAGGGGCTGGCGATTTCGATCGCGCCCAATAGCGGGCTGTCGCGAATTGTGCGACTCACGCAACCGAGTCGCATTTCGAAATCGCAATTTCACCCCTCCCAACCCGCTCTTGCAACCCTAACCCAACTAAACCTTACGCGCTAGAGATACAAATTACAGAGCAGCAACAGAGAGCATTCATTAGTCTAGCATTATAGAATTAGTAGCAAAACTCCGCCCACCCAGCGTGGCTGAACTACTTCACGCCGATTCCAGCGCGTATTTCAGGCGCGATCTAGCGCACAACAGCTTCGCGAGGCGTAGGCGCCTTATCGCCATGCCCCGCGCACCATCCCCTTTGTGGGCGCATGTGAAGCATACTTGTGATGACGATGGTAAGGTCATACGGTCGGAATGCTTGCACTGCAGTTTGAACATTTCGGGTAGTGCGACACGCATCCAAGAGCACCTTTACGGCACCCCTGCGTCGAAATTCAAGAATATCGCGAAGTGCAAATCCGACTTCGCAAGGGTGCGATTTGCAAGGTAGGACATACTCGCGTTGTCCAAGTCGTGGTGGACAACGCGAGCAACAACAAGAGGGTGGCGGCTGACCTTGGTGAAGGATTCCCCATGGTATTCTTCACCAATTGTGCGGCGCATTGCCTAGACTGGATGCTCAGTGACCTTGGGATGATAGGCGTGGTGCAGAAGGTCCTGTGGCAAGCGCACCAAGTAGCCATGCTCGTGGGCTAGCGCCACCGCCGTGACCCTCTTTCGAGAGGTCTTTAGTGAGTTGGAACTAGTCCGTCCCGAGGCTACTCAATTTGGCACACAAGTCCTTACGGTGGGCCGTTTCTTGGAGGTAAAAAGCAGTTGAAGAGCATGGTGATTAGCAAGGAGTGCACGGGTGCCTGCAGCGAAAACGAAGAAGGGGAAGCGGATTCAAAGCCTTCTCCTAGACGAGGCTTTTTAAAGCTCGGTGGAGGCGGTGCAAAAGTTGTTGATGCCGATTTATGAGGTGCTTCGGGCGGTGGACACCCGTTCTCACCTCATGGGGCGCATCTATGGGTTGATGCTCGATGTGACAATGAAGACCAACAAGGTCGCGGAGGCCGCAAATACTTGCCCATCCCCCCTCCGCCCATATTCCGTTGCGTACCTTATTTGTACGGTCGATGGCAATTCGCAGACCCTACCTTTCCGGCCCTTACTAACCCGCATCAAACCGTTGTTCTCTGAATTTGTTTTCAGCCACATTCTTCATCAAGAGAACATGGCTCCTCTTGGCCACGAACAAGGCATCATTCTTGACCAAGGTGCAAAGGATCATAGCAGCACGTTGGGACGGCCAACTCCACAACCCGCTCCATACTGTGGGTTGGCTACTCAACCCCCATAACCGTTTTGCCAAGGAAGTGAGGACCGACTTGGAGATTGGTAAGGGGGTGAAAAGGGTGACGTAGGCGTGGCAGGCGACCATTCAGCACCGCACACTCCTCCAGACCCAACTCGCACACTCCCATAGCGAGGAGGGGACGTTGGGCAGTTTGGAAGCACGGTGGGCCACCACTCACCTTGAGGAGAGTGGGCGGCTCTCGGAGGCGGAATGGTTGACCACCTTTGGAGAGGAGGTGAGGGCGTTGCAGGAGATCGCGGTGAAGGTGCTCTCCCAACCCACGACCATATCCGAGGTGGAGCGAGCGTGGTCGCATTCGCACGGGTGCGACGTCAAGATCCCAACCGGATGAACGCCTCCCACCTTGATTGACGTCACGGCCGTGACTCGGCCGAAAATGTTGGACAAGCCGTTCGAGCTTTGACTCGTGACTTGACCGACTCAACTCGACTCGACTCGGGATGAGTCGGAAGAGCACAAAAAAAAACTCGACTCGCCAAAAGGCGAGCCAAGTTGACGAGTCGAGTCAGAAACTCAACTCGGTTGCTCATGCCTAGTCACGGTGGTGGTGATCAGCCAGCGCTCGAGGAAGGCTTTCGATAGGAAGGTTGCGGCTCGGGACCGCCTGTACCAAAACCTAGGCGCTAGCGTGCTTGGAGAAGGGAGCTCTGGCCCCGCTCCACCCACCTCCCAAGAGGAAGAGGGGGAGGGGGAGGAGGTGGAGGCGGAGGAGGAGGGGGTGGAGGGAGCGGTTGAGTGCACTATTGATTGGGAGTCCTTTGGGAGCATCAGCGAGAGGAAGACGAGGAAAGGGAAGACCTCCACCGTGAAGTGTTCGAAGAAGGCAAAGGGCTCGGGGAAAGGGAAAGGGAAGGGGAAGGGGAAGGGGAAGGGGAAGGGAAGGGGAAGGGGAATGAGAAGGGGCAGGGTAAGGGGAAGGGGAAGGGGAAGAGGGCACGGGAGGAGGAGGACGACGACGAGGAGGACGAGGAGGACAAGGAGGAGGAAGTCCGCGGACCATGGGATCTCGGCGTGGGAGAGGGGGGAGAGGTCGGAGGGGGGGGTCGGAGGAGGAGGAGGAGGAGGAGGAGGAGGAGGAGGAGGAGGAGGAGGAGGAGGAGGAGGAGGAGGAAGAGGAGGAAGATGAGGAGGAGGAGGAGGAGGAGGAGGAGGAGGAGGAGGAGGAGGAGGAGGAGGAGGAGGAGGAGGAGGAGGAGGAGGAGGAGGAGGAGGCCGAGGAGGAGGAGGCCGAGGAGGAGGAGGAGGAGGAGGCTGAGGAGGAGGAGGAGGAGGAGGAGGCCGAGGAGGGGGAGGAGGCCGAGGAGGAGGAGGAGGCCGAGGAGGAGGAGGAGGAGGAGGCCGAGGAGGAGGAGGAGGCCGAGGAGGAGGAGGAGGCCGAGGCCGAGGAGGAGGAGGAGGAGGAGGAGGAGGAGGAGGAGGAGGAGGAGGAAGGAGGAGGAGGAGGAGGAGGGGGAGGAGGAGGAGGAGGAGGAGGAGGAGGAGGAGGAGGAGGAGGAGGAGGAGGAGGAGGAGGAGGACGACGACGACGACGACGACGAGGAGGACGAGGAGGAGGAGGAGGAAGAGGAGGAGGAGGACGACGACGACGACGATGAGGGGGAGGAGGAGGAGGGGTAGGAGGAGGGGTAGTACCACTTGAGTGGTTTCCACACCACACATCTTGTCCGCACACCTGGTAACTGACTCACCTGGTAGTTGGCGAGGTTGAAGTGGGTTTGCAGGGAGTGATCCCCCCCAGTCAGGAGCTCCTCCGGGATGTTGTTCACGAATGACAACACGCCACCTGGCACGCCGCCACATCACAATATCATATGGGACGTGCATCATGGTACGTGGGATGACAAGCAACCACTAGGTGATTTTGACAAAGGTGGTTGCACCTACTATGTACCTTGAGTGCCTCATAGTACGTACAAAGCGAAGGCAGGTGAGACAGGAGAAGAAAGGCCAGCAATCAAGTTACCAAGAAGGTTCTACCAGCCTCAGAATCCGCATGGGGAGGGTTGCAGTACTCGGGCGGCTGTAGCTTGGGAGTACTATCCACAACCACCTGCACAATCCCCACTTGGCACGTTGTGATGCTCGGGGGGGTTATCGAACGCCACAGCTGGAAGCGGTGCTTCATGTTGTCTGTGTGTCCCAGTAATCCCATCTATGCCTATGATACCAGCCCCCCCCACTGGGGGGTCGAGCCTCACCTGGAGGGTCGTAGTACTCAGGCGGGTCAATGAACGCCATGGCCTCTCTGAAGCGATGCCTCTTGCCGCCCGTGCCGGTAAACTGGAAGGTGGCGTGCATGGCGTATGGCTCCAGACCTATCTTGCGGTACAGGTGCTGCTTGGGGAGGAAGGGGGTGGGGGTTGGGCGGGCGAGAGACATATGGCGTGCAGACCAATGGACACATATTTTTCAGGGCTAACCATGGTGGAAAAAGCCTTGCGAGGCAGCGGTTCTGAAAAAGCTCGAGCTGAAGGGATGTTCAGGAAGTTTTGATGGAAAACCAGTGATGAACTAGTTTTGGCTTATACAAGCCTTCATCAGCATCTACTGAACATCGGAGCATTCGAGCTGTCTAAATAGTGAGAGTGCGACCCGAGAAAAACTCGAGGGTCCACACCATCCCCGAGAAGGGGTCACTGTAGCCTAGCAAAAAACTAGATAAGTGTAACAAATTTGAAACACTAAACTAGCATTTCCTTGCTGAGACTATAAAATCCTTGATCTTCTTTGGCAGCTTCCATGCAATCAATGCACGTCGGCCGGAGAATAAACCGTGTGTCAGCTTGTCCAGTTGTATTTTGAGTTGACTCAAAATACAACGGGGTGGGGGTTGGGCGGGCGAGAGACATATGGCGTGCATGGCATGGCATGGGGCTTCAGTCCAGGCCTACCGTGCGATACAGGTGCTGGTGGGGAGGGGACAAGAAGGCGGGAGGTGGAGAGGAAGAGAGACGGGGGGTAGGAAGAGTGGGCGGGTGCCTCTTGCCGACCATTCAGCAAACTGAAACGTGGCGTGCATGGCAGATGTATCTAGGGCTACCTGCCTGTACAGGTGCTTGTAGGGAGGGGAGCAAAGCAGGTAGAGACAGGAGGAGAAGGGAGGGCAGAGGGCTGTAGACGTTCAGGATTGTAAGGTGCAGTCAACTCAAGTCAACCTCAGTCAACCACAGTCAAATGCAGCCTCACCAGCACAAAGTAAGTGTGGCCCGAGAAAAACAGTGCCACATGCAATATCCCACGCTTCAGACTCCCACCGAACGCCCAGAACCGGTTATCGTTCCCCTCGGGGTTCACACCGGCCCCAGCTTCACAGTCAACTGAGGTCACGCCCAGTCAACACAAGTCAACTGCAGGCCTCACCTGGACAAAGTAGGTGTGGCCCGAGCAGAACAACGAGACTAGGCATGAGCAAAAGGCCAGGACGGACCGGGCCGGTCCGGACCGGTCCAGAATTTTCCCGGACCGGGCCAATACTTTGAAGGGTACCGGCCCGAGCGGAGCGGGCCGGTCCGGGTTTGGCCCGCTGGGCCGGGCCGGTCCGGACCGGTCCGACGAGCTGAACGGGCCGGACCGGTCCGGACAGGCCCGTCGTCGGGCCGCGTTCCCGAAGTCGGGCCGGGCTGGCCTGGCCTGAAGTGCGGGCCGTAGCCTGGCCTGCGCGGCTCGGTCATCCGCGGGGTCAAAGATTCGACAATGAAGTCGATTTTTTTACCATCACGACTCATTTTCACAGCAGACAAGAGTCGCAACCAACTACGTAGGCATCTAGGGGCTCCTAACCCTAGGATCCGTGGCAGCCACCATCGTTTTAGTCCAGAGACAACTGCTACCCATAATTTAGGGTAGATCTACGGATGCATTTCTCTTGCGCGACGATTTCTGGCTAGGAAAAGTAGTGCGCTGTTCTCTCTACCCTAGAAAACGTACCCCCTCTGAAAATCGCCGAGCGCCACAGATCCGTTTTCATGAGACTCCTTTGGCGCGTTACTCAAGTTACGAATCGCATTTCTCCACAGTGACTTGTTCGTAAACTACCAACGTTACTCGTCAAACGATCTCAACCTACCTTTGACATTACATTTATTTCGATTTACAATTTGTAGTAGCATGGTTGGCCTGCGATTTGGCCTGCCACTCTGAATAGCTGAAGGTTCCGCGCGTCACTAGGCGTGAGGCGAAGTTGGTGGTGCTCGAATCGAGGCAATGGGCGATTTTGGTGGAACGTCGCGTCAGAGCACGATCGCGGGGGCGAGCGCTGGTGGGGTTAGTAGTTATGGGTTTCGAGGGGCCCTCCAGCAGGTGATGCTGCCCGATGGGCTCACACATCCACCGGGGAACGGCTGAGGAGGGGGGGGGGAGGAGGAGATGGGAGAGCGCGAGGTTTCTGGGCAGGCGGGGGATGATGACGAAGAGTACCGCATCAGTGGGGAGGAGTTGTCCGAGGAGTCCAGCGACGGCCTGCCAAAACAGCGTAGGCGGGGAGAAGGGAATGACAGGAGGCCCGGAGGTGGTGGGTAGGGCAAAGACGCTAGGGCAGGGAGGGCATCGCACAGGGGGGGGGCTGGCAATGGGGAAGGGCACACACCTCCGCGCGGTCGGCCGCGTGGAACGGGCGGCGCAGGGTACGGTGAAGGTCGTGGGGGGGGGGGGGGGGGGGGGGGGGGGGAGGATCGCCGCGTGGTGGGCAGCGAGGGGACACCCCTCTCGACGAGGCAATGGAGGGCGGTGTAGGCACGCCCTCGGCGCTGCTGCAGGAAAGGGAGGGGGCAAGGCGGGGGCTGGGCAGGGGCGAAAGAATCTAAGGCAACTAGAGGAGTGTCCCTTGAGGGGGATGATGAGGGACTTTGAGTGGGATTGGGGTTGGTGGTGCAGGTTGGGATTGGATTGGACATTATCACGTCATTCCAAGGACCCGGCAATGTGCCATGGGTCCTCTTTGGTACTTTATTTATTAGGCTTGGTAACGTGCATACATGACTGCCTGATTCTGGATTTTCGATAGCATGAGGGCCTGCCCTAGCCAACGGCCTAAAAACCAATGGTTCATGGCCTTGTGTGCCACCTCCCATGCATAGCTGCTTATCCTGCGCATTTAGGGGACCATGAGACACGTTACAAGGGGCGACAACCACCTAGGAAATCTGGCAGAGCAAAGCACGACATCCCCCCATCAATACCCCACCCGAAACAGTAAAAAAGGAGTCCCGGGCCGGCTGGCCCGGTTTTGGCCCGATTTTAGACCGGGCCGGACCAGTCCGGCCACCGGGCCAAGGTCAGCCCAGGTCTAGAAACCCGGGCCGGGCCGACAAATCTGGGAATCCGGCCCGGGACAGGCCGGCCTGGCCCGGCTCGGTTTCTAACCGAGCCGACCCAAAACCGGGCCGGGCCGAGCCGGCCGTGCCGTTGCTCAGGCATAAACGAGACAGGCAGTATCCCCAGCTTCAGACTGCCATCGAACGCCCAAGACGCTTTATCCTTGATCTCGGGGTTGACATCAGGCCCCATCTTCCAGTCAATTCAAGTTAGACATGGGCAGCATGCCGAGCCTGGCTCGACTTGGCTCGCCAGGGGCGACAGGAACGGCTGTGGTGTGTCAGTGCCTTCTACAATCCCTAGGTGTGGGAAACAGAGTCGGTCAAACCGGACCCATGTGGCTGGGAGCACCTGAGAAGAAAGGCAGGGCGAAGGATTTGTGGGGAGAGGAAGGGAGCAGATGACTCGGCTGTATCTGCAGCAGGGCAAAGGAAAGCGGTTGCGGGGACAGCAAGGTTCGCTGCACCACCATGTGGTCAACTAGATTCGGTGAAAGCACACCCATGTGGTGGGTAGTACCTGCGGGGAGAGGCAGGCCGATATTTAAAGGCGGTGTTGGAACAGAAAGGAAGCGGCTGAACCCTCTTCACCTCCAGAAGGGCAAACACGTTGCTGGGATGGGAAGGCTCACTCACTGCACCTCCACTCCAATGCTCGACCCGGTGGTCCAGGGGGGAGAAATGAGGCAGCTATTTTGTAAGGCGCCCCTGAAGTAACCTCCAGCAAGGCAAAGGCGTTGCTGGGATGAAAAGCTCACTTCATCCTCCACAGGGTCGACAACAGGGCCGACAAATGAGGCATCTACTTTTTAGATGCCTGTTAAAAACAGCCAGACTAGAGGCTAAGAGGCAGAGGGGGCAGACTAACCAGCGTTCGGTTGAGTATGGTTGCAATGGCGAGAGCTGATCTGAGATTGGTTAGCTGCAAGACGGGAGCACGGAGAGGCACAGAGAAGCAGGGGAGAAGCACAGAGAGGCACAGAGGGGAATTGTAAAAAACAATACCAACTCGTTGACAAGGTTGAAATGGGTTTGCAGGGAGTGATCCCCCGCAGTCAGCAGCAGCTGGGGCTTGACCCGACAGCAAGGTAAAAAAAAAACGGTGTGTTTTTTTTTTTTTCTTTTTTAGACCGTTTGTTACGGTCCCGTATTTTTCGGCTGTATTAAACGGTTTAAAACGGTTCTGAAAGTTAGCTTTTCTTTGGTTGAAAAAAATGGTTGTTTTATACGGTCGAAGTTTTAAAATCGTGGGTGTACTGCACCAACTCGAATTTGACACCGAATTCGAACGGCTGGGTATACACCCAACCGTCCCTGAATGTTCGGTCAACACATTCCCGAAGCGCGAAATTTCGCGTGTCCCGAGGAGCGCATTTTGGAATTCTCGCCAGACCTGTTGCGAAACCAAAATCGGTTTCGCAAGGGGCTGGCGATTTCGATCGCGCCCAATAGCGGGCTGTCGCGAATTGTGCGACTCACGCAACCGAGTCGCATTTCGAAATCGCAATTTCACCCCTCCCAACCCGCTCTTGCAACCCTAACCCAACTAAACCTTACGCGCTAGAGATACAAATTACAGAGCAGCAACAGAGAGCATTCATTAGTCTAGCATTATAGAATTAGTAGCAAAACTCCGCCCACCCAGCGTGGCTGAACTACTTCACGCCGATTCCAGCGCGTATTTCAGGCGCGATCTAGCGCACAACAGCTTCGCGAGGCGTAGGCGCCTTATCGCCATGCCCCGCGCACCATCCCCTTTGTGGGCGCATGTGAAGCATACTTGTGATGACGATGGTAAGGTCATACGGTCGGAATGCTTGCACTGCAGTTTGAACATTTCGGGTAGTGCGACACGCATCCAAGAGCACCTTTACGGCACCCCTGCGTCGAAATTCAAGAATATCGCGAAGTGCAAATCCGACTTCGCAAGGGTGCGATTTGCAAGGTAGGACATACTCGCGTTGTCCAAGTCGTGGTGGACAACGCGAGCAACAACAAGAGGGTGGCGGCTGACCTTGGTGAAGGATTCCCCATGGTATTCTTCACCAATTGTGCGGCGCATTGCCTAGACTGGATGCTCAGTGACCTTGGGATGATAGGCGTGGTGCAGAAGGTCCTGTGGCAAGCGCACCAAGTAGCCATGCTCGTGGGCTAGCGCCACCGCCGTGACCCTCTTTCGAGAGGTCTTTAGTGAGTTGGAACTAGTCCGTCCCGAGGCTACTCAATTTGGCACACAAGTCCTTACGGTGGGCCGTTTCTTGGAGGTAAAAAGCAGTTGAAGAGCATGGTGATTAGCAAGGAGTGCACGGGTGCCTGCAGCGAAAACGAAGAAGGGGAAGCGGATTCAAAGCCTTCTCCTAGACGAGGCTTTTTAAAGCTCGGTGGAGGCGGTGCAAAAGTTGTTGATGCCGATTTATGAGGTGCTTCGGGCGGTGGACACCCGTTCTCACCTCATGGGGCGCATCTATGGGTTGATGCTCGATGTGACAATGAAGACCAACAAGGTCGCGGAGGCCGCAAATACTTGCCCATCCCCCCTCCGCCCATATTCCGTTGCGTACCTTATTTGTACGGTCGATGGCAATTCGCAGACCCTACCTTTCCGGCCCTTACTAACCCGCATCAAACCGTTGTTCTCTGAATTTGTTTTCAGCCACATTCTTCATCAAGAGAACATGGCTCCTCTTGGCCACGAACAAGGCATCATTCTTGACCAAGGTGCAAAGGATCATAGCAGCACGTTGGGACGGCCAACTCCACAACCCGCTCCATACTGTGGGTTGGCTACTCAACCCCCATAACCGTTTTGCCAAGGAAGTGAGGACCGACTTGGAGATTGGTAAGGGGGTGAAAAGGGTGACGTAGGCGTGGCAGGCGACCATTCAGCACCGCACACTCCTCCAGACCCAACTCGCACACTCCCATAGCGAGGAGGGGACGTTGGGCAGTTTGGAAGCACGGTGGGCCACCACTCACCTTGAGGAGAGTGGGCGGCTCTCGGAGGCGGAATGGTTGACCACCTTTGGAGAGGAGGTGAGGGCGTTGCAGGAGATCGCGGTGAAGGTGCTCTCCCAACCCACGACCATATCCGAGGTGGAGCGAGCGTGGTCGCATTCGCACGGGTGCGACGTCAAGATCCCAACCGGATGAACGCCTCCCACCTTGATTGACGTCACGGCCGTGACTCGGCCGAAAATGTTGGACAAGCCGTTCGAGCTTTGACTCGTGACTTGACCGACTCAACTCGACTCGACTCGGGATGAGTCGGAAGAGCACAAAAAAAAAACTCGACTCGCCAAAAGGCGAGCCAAGTTGACGAGTCGAGTCAGAAACTCAACTCGGTTGCTCATGCCTAGTCACGGTGGTGGTGATCAGCCAGCGCTCGAGGAAGGCTTTCGATAGGAAGGTTGCGGCTCGGGACCGCCTGTACCAAAACCTAGGCGCTAGCGTGCTTGGAGAAGGGAGCTCTGGCCCCGCTCCACCCACCTCCCAAGAGGAAGAGGGGGAGGGGGAGGAGGTGGAGGCGGAGGAGGAGGGGGTGGAGGGAGCGGTTGAGTGCACTATTGATTGGGAGTCCTTTGGGAGCATCAGCGAGAGGAAGACGAGGAAAGGGAAGACCTCCACCGTGAAGTGTTCGAAGAAGGCAAAGGGCTCGGGGAAAGGGAAAGGGAAGGGGAAGGGGAAGGGGAAGGGGAAGGGAAGGGGAAGGGGAATGAGAAGGGGCAGGGTAAGGGGAAGGGGAAGGGGAAGAGGGCACGGGAGGAGGAGGACGACGACGAGGAGGACGAGGAGGACAAGGAGGAGGAAGTCCGCGGACCATGGGATCTCGGCGTGGGAGAGGGGGGAGAGGTCGGAGGGGGGGTCGGAGGAGGAGGAGGAGGAGGAGGAGGAGGAGGAGGAGGAGGAGGAGGAGGAGGAGGAGGAGGAAGAGGAGGAAGATGAGGAGGAGGAGGAGGAGGAGGAGGAGGAGGAGGAGGAGGAGGAGGAGGAGGAGGAGGAGGAGGAGGAGGAGGAGGAGGAGGAGGAGGCCGAGGAGGAGGAGGCCGAGGAGGAGGAGGAGGAGGAGGCTGAGGAGGAGGAGGAGGAGGAGGAGGCCGAGGAGGGGGAGGAGGCCGAGGAGGAGGAGGAGGCCGAGGAGGAGGAGGAGGAGGAGGCCGAGGAGGAGGAGGAGGCCGAGGAGGAGGAGGAGGCCGAGGCGAGGAGGAGGAGGAGGAGGAGGAGGAGGAGGAGGAGGAGGAGGAAGGAGGAGGAGGAGGAGGAGGGGAGGAGGAGGAGGAGGAGGAGGAGGAGGAGGAGGAGGAGGAGGAGGAGGAGGAGGAGGAGGAGGAGGACGACGACGACGACGACGACGAGGAGGACGAGGAGGAGGAGGAGGAAGAGGAGGAGGAGGACGACGACGACGACGATGAGGGGGAGGAGGAGGAGGGGTAGGAGGAGGGGTAGTACCACTTGAGTGGTTTCCACACCACACATCTTGTCCGCACACCTGGTAACTGACTCACCTGGTAGTTGGCGAGGTTGAAGTGGGTTTGCAGGGAGTGATCCCCCCCAGTCAGGAGCTCCTCCGGGATGTTGTTCACGAATGACAACACGCCACCTGGCACGCCGCCACATCACAATATCATATGGGACGTGCATCATGGTACGTGGGATGACAAGCAACCACTAGGTGATTTTGACAAAGGTGGTTGCACCTACTATGTACCTTGAGTGCCTCATAGTACGTACAAAGCGAAGGCAGGTGAGACAGGAGAAGAAAGGCCAGCAATCAAGTTACCAAGAAGGTTCTACCAGCCTCAGAATCCGCATGGGGAGGGTTGCAGTACTCGGGCGGCTGTAGCTTGGGAGTACTATCCACAACCACCTGCACAATCCCCACTTGGCACGTTGTGATGCTCGGGGGGGTTATCGAACGCCACAGCTGGAAGCGGTGCTTCATGTTGTCTGTGTGTCCCAGTAATCCCATCTATGCCTATGATACCAGCCCCCCCCACTGGGGGGTCGAGCCTCACCTGGAGGGTCGTAGTACTCAGGCGGGTCAATGAACGCCATGGCCTCTCTGAAGCGATGCCTCTTGCCGCCCGTGCCGGTAAACTGGAAGGTGGCGTGCATGGCGTATGGCTCCAGACCTATCTTGCGGTACAGGTGCTGCTTGGGGAGGAAGGGGTGGGGGTTGGGCGGGCGAGAGACATATGGCGTGCAGACCAATGGACACATATTTTTCAGGGCTAACCATGGTGGAAAAAGCCTTGCGAGGCAGCGGTTCTGAAAAAGCTCGAGCTGAAGGGATGTTCAGGAAGTTTTGATGGAAAACCAGTGATGAACTAGTTTTGGCTTATACAAGCCTTCATCAGCATCTACTGAACATCGGAGCATTCGAGCTGTCTAAATAGTGAGAGTGCGACCCGAGAAAAACTCGAGGGTCCACACCATCCCCGAGAAGGGGTCACTGTAGCCTAGCAAAAAACTAGATAAGTGTAACAAATTTGAAACACTAAACTAGCATTTCCTTGCTGAGACTATAAAATCCTTGATCTTCTTTGGCAGCTTCCATGCAATCAATGCACGTCGGCCGGAGAATAAACCGTGTGTCAGCTTGTCCAGTTGTATTTTGAGTTGACTCAAAATACAACGGGGTGGGGGTTGGGCGGGCGAGAGACATATGGCGTGCATGGCATGGCATGGGGCTTCAGTCCAGGCCTACCGTGCGATACAGGTGCTGGTGGGGAGGGGACAAGAAGGCGGGAGGTGGAGAGGAAGAGAGACGGGGGGTAGGAAGAGTGGGCGGGTGCCTCTTGCCGACCATTCAGCAAACTGAAACGTGGCGTGCATGGCAGATGTATCTAGGGCTACCTGCCTGTACAGGTGCTTGTAGGGAGGGGAGCAAAGCAGGTAGAGACAGGAGGAGAAGGGAGGGCAGAGGGCTGTAGACGTTCAGGATTGTAAGGTGCAGTCAACTCAAGTCAACCTCAGTCAACCACAGTCAAATGCAGCCTCACCAGCACAAAGTAAGTGTGGCCCGAGAAAAACAGTGCCACATGCAATATCCCACGCTTCAGACTCCCACCGAACGCCCAGAACCGGTTATCGTTCCCCTCGGGGTTCACACCGGCCCCAGCTTCACAGTCAACTGAGGTCACGCCCAGTCAACACAAGTCAACTGCAGGCCTCACCTGGACAAAGTAGGTGTGGCCCGAGCAGAACAACGAGACTAGGCATGAGCAAAAGGCCAGGACGGACCGGGCCGGTCCGGACCGGTCCAGAATTTTCCCGGACCGGGCCAATACTTTGAAGGGTACCGGCCCGAGCGGAGCGGGCCGGTCCGGGTTTGGCCCGCTGGGCCGGGCCGGTCCGGACCGGTCCGACGAGCTGAACGGGCCGGACCGGTCCGGACAGGCCCGTCGTCGGGCCGCGTTCCCGAAGTCGGGCCGGGCTGGCCTGGCCTGAAGTGCGGGCCGTAGCCTGGCCTGCGCGGCTCGGTCATCCGCGGGGTCAAAGATTCGACAATGAAGTCGATTTTTTTACCATCACGACTCATTTTCACAGCAGACAAGAGTCGCAACCAACTACGTAGGCATCTAGGGGCTCCTAACCCTAGGATCCGTGGCAGCCACCATCGTTTTAGTCCAGAGACAACTGCTACCCATAATTTAGGGTAGATCTACGGATGCATTTCTCTTGCGCGACGATTTCTGGCTAGGAAAAGTAGTGCGCTGTTCTCTCTACCCTAGAAAACGTACCCCCTCTGAAAATCGCCGAGCGCCACAGATCCGTTTTCATGAGACTCCTTTGGCGCGTTACTCAAGTTACGAATCGCATTTCTCCACAGTGACTTGTTCGTAAACTACCAACGTTACTCGTCAAACGATCTCAACCTACCTTTGACATTACATTTATTTCGATTTACAATTTGTAGTAGCATGGTTGGCCTGCGATTTGGCCTGCCACTCTGAATAGCTGAAGGTTCCGCGCGTCACTAGGCGTGAGGCGAAGTTGGTGGTGCTCGAATCGAGGCAATGGGCGATTTTGGTGGAACGTCGCGTCAGAGCACGATCGCGGGGGCGAGCGCTGGTGGGGTTAGTAGTTATGGGTTTCGAGGGGCCCTCCAGCAGGTGATGCTGCCCGATGGGCTCACACATCCACCGGGGAACGGCTGAGGAGGGGGGGGGAGGAGGAGATGGGAGAGCGCGAGGTTTCTGGGCAGGCGGGGGATGATGACGAAGAGTACCGCATCAGTGGGGAGGAGTTGTCCGAGGAGTCCAGCGACGGGCCTGCCAAAACAGCGTAGGCGGGGAGAAGGGAATGACAGGAGGCCCGGAGGTGGTGGGTAGGGCAAAGACGCTAGGGCAGGGAGGGCATCGCACAGGGGGGGGGCTGGCAATGGGGAAGGGCACACACCTCCGCGCGGTCGGCCGCGTGGAACGGGCGGCGCAGGGTACGGTGAAGGTCGTGGGGGGGGGGGGGGGGGGGGGGGGGGGAGGATCGCCGCGTGGTGGGCAGCGAGGGGACACCCCTCTCGACGAGGCAATGGAGGGCGGTGTAGGCACGCCCTCGGCGCTGCTGCAGGAAAGGGAGGGGGCAAGGCGGGGGCTGGGCAGGGGCGAAAGAATCTAAGGCAACTAGAGGAGTGTCCCTTGAGGGGGATGATGAGGGACTTTGAGTGGGATTGGGGTTGGTGGTGCAGGTTGGGATTGGATTGGACATTATCACGTCATTCCAAGGACCCGGCAATGTGCCATGGGTCCTCTTTGGTACTTTATTTATTAGGCTTGGTAACGTGCATACATGACTGCCTGATTCTGGATTTTCGATAGCATGAGGGCCTGCCCTAGCCAACGGCCTAAAAACCAATGGTTCATGGCCTTGTGTGCCACCTCCCATGCATAGCTGCTTATCCTGCGCATTTAGGGGACCATGAGACACGTTACAAGGGCGACAACCACCTAGGAAATCTGGCAGAGCAAAGCACGACATCCCCCCATCAATACCCCACCCGAAACAGTAAAAAAGGAGTCCCGGGCCGGCTGGCCCGGTTTTGGCCCGATTTTAGACCGGGCCGGACCAGTCCGGCCACCGGGCCAAGGTCAGCCCAGGTCTAGAAACCCGGGCCGGGCCGACAAATCTGGGAATCCGGCCCGGGACAGGCCGGCCTGGCCCGGCTCGGTTTCTAACCGAGCCGACCCAAAACCGGGCCGGGCCGAGCCGGCCGTGCCGTTGCTCAGGCATAAACGAGACAGGCAGTATCCCCAGCTTCAGACTGCCATCGAACGCCCAAGACGCTTTATCCTTGATCTCGGGGTTGACATCAGGCCCCATCTTCCAGTCAATTCAAGTTAGACATGGGCAGCATGCCGAGCCTGGCTCGACTTGGCTCGCCAGGGGCGACAGGAACGGCTGTGGTGTGTCAGTGCCTTCTACAATCCCTAGGTGTGGGAAACAGAGTCGGTCAAACCGGACCCATGTGGCTGGGAGCACCTGAGAAGAAAGGCAGGGCGAAGGATTTGTGGGGAGAGGAAGGGAGCAGATGACTCGGCTGTATCTGCAGCAGGGCAAAGGAAAGCGGTTGCGGGGACAGCAAGGTTCGCTGCACCACCATGTGGTCAACTAGATTCGGTGAAAGCACACCCATGTGGTGGGTAGTACCTGCGGGGAGAGGCAGGCCGATATTTAAAGGCGGTGTTGGAACAGAAAGGAAGCGGCTGAACCCTCTTCACCTCCAGAAGGGCAAACACGTTGCTGGGATGGGAAGGCTCACTCACTGCACCTCCACTCCAATGCTCGACCCGGTGGTCCAGGGGGGAGAAATGAGGCAGCTATTTTGTAAGGCGCCCCTGAAGTAACCTCCAGCAAGGCAAAGGCGTTTGCTGGGATGAAAAGCTCACTTCATCCTCCACAGGGTCGACAACAGGGCCGACAAATGAGGCATCTACTTTTTAGATGCCTGTTAAAACAGCCAGACTAGAGGCTAAGAGGCAGAGGGGGCAGACTAACCAGCGTTCGGTTGAGTATGGTTGCAATGGCGAGAGCTGATCTGAGATTGGTTAGCTGCAAGACGGGAGCACGGAGAGGCACAGAGAAGCAGGGGAGAAGCACAGAGAGGCACAGAGGGGAATTGTAAAAAACAATACCAACTCGTTGACAAGGTTGAAATGGGTTTGCAGGGAGTGATCCCCCGCAGTCAGCAGCAGCTGGGGCTTGACCCGACAGCAAGGTAAAAAAAAACGGTGTTGTGTTTTTTTTTTTTCTTTTTAGACCGTTTGTTACGGTCCCGTATTTTTCGGCTGTATTAAACGGTTTAAAACGGTTCTGAAAGTTAGCTTTTCTTTGGTTGAAAAAAATGGTTGTTTTATACGGTCGAAGTTTTAAAATCGTGGGTGTACTGCACCAACTCGAATTTGACACCGAATTCGAACGGCTGGGTATACACCCAACCGTCCCTGAATGTTCGGTCAACACATTCCCGAAGCGCGAAATTTCGCGTGTCCCGAGGAGCGCATTTTGGAATTCTCGCCAGACCTGTTGCGAAACCAAAATCGGTTTCGCAAGGGGCTGGCGATTTCGATCGCGCCCAATAGCGGGCTGTCGCGAATTGTGCGACTCACGCAACCGAGTCGCATTTCGAAATCGCAATTTCACCCCTCCCAACCCGCTCTTGCAACCCTAACCCAACTAAACCTTACGCGCTAGAGATACAAATTACAGAGCAGCAACAGAGAGCATTCATTAGTCTAGCATTATAGAATTAGTAGCAAAACTCCGCCCACCCAGCGTGGCTGAACTACTTCACGCCGATTCCAGCGCGTATTTCAGGCGCGATCTAGCGCACAACAGCTTCGCGAGGCGTAGGCGCCTTATCGCCATGCCCCGCGCACCATCCCCTTTGTGGGCGCATGTGAAGCATACTTGTGATGACGATGGTAAGGTCATACGGTCGGAATGCTTGCACTGCAGTTTGAACATTTCGGGTAGTGCGACACGCATCCAAGAGCACCTTTACGGCACCCCTGCGTCGAAATTCAAGAATATCGCGAAGTGCAAATCCGACTTCGCAAGGGTGCGATTTGCAAGGGTAGGACATACTCGCGTTGTCCAAGTCGTGGTGGACAACGCGAGCAACAACAAGAGGGTGGCGGCTGACCTTGGTGAAGGATTCCCCATGGTATTCTTCACCAATTGTGCGGCGCATTGCCTAGACTGGATGCTCAGTGACCTTGGGATGATAGGCGTGGTGCAGAAGGTCCTGTGGCAAGCGCACCAAGTAGCCATGCTCGTGGGCTAGCGCCCACCGCCGTGACCCTCTTTCGAGAGGTCTTTAGTGAGTTTGGAACTAGTCCGTCCCGAGGCTACTCAATTTGGCACACAAGTCCTTACGGTGGGCCGTTTCTTGGAGGTAAAAAGCAGTTGAAGAGCATGGTGATTAGCAAGGAGTGCACGGGTGCCTGCAGCGAAAACGAAGAAGGGGAAGCGGATTCAAAGCCTTCTCCTAGACGAGGCTTTTTAAAGCTCGGTGGAGGCGGTGCAAAAGTTGTTGATGCCGATTTATGAGGTGCTTCGGGCGGGTGGACACCCGTTCTCACCTCATGGGGCGCATCTATGGGTTGATGCTCGATGTGACAATGAAGACCAACAAGGTCGCGGAGGCCGCAAATACTTGCCCATCCCCCCTCCGCCCATATTCCGTTGCGTACCTTATTGTTACGGTCGATGGCAATTCGCAGACCCTACTTTCCGGCCCTTACTAACCCGCATCAAACCGTTGTTCTCTGAATTTGTTTTCAGCCACATTCTTCATCAAGAGAACATGGCTCCTCTTGGCCACGAACAAGGCATCATTCTTGACCAAGGTGCAAAGGATCATAGCAGCACGTTGGGACGGCCAACTCCACAACCCGCTCCATACTGTGGGTTGGCTACTCAACCCCCATAACCGTTTTGCCAAGGAAGTGAGGACGACTTGGAGATTGGTAAGGGGGTGAAAAGGGTGACGTAGGCGTGGCAGGCGACCATTCAGCACCGCACACTCCTCCAGACCCAACTCGCACACTCCCATAGCGAGGAGGGGACGTTGGGGCAGTTTGGAAGCACGGTGGGCCACCACTCACCTTGAGGAGAGTGGGCGGCTCTCGGAGGCGGAATGGTTGACCACCTTTGGAGAGGAGGTGAGGGCGTTGCAGGAGATCGCGGTGAAGGTGCTCTCCCAACCCACGACCATATCCGAGGTGGAGCGAGCGTGGTCGCATTCGCACGGGTGCGACGTCAAGATCCCAACCGGATGAACGCCTCCCACCTTGATTGACGTCACGGCCGTGACTCGGCCGAAAATGTTGGACAAGCCGTTCGAGCTTTGACTCGTGACTTGACCGACTCAACTCGACTCGACTCGGGATGAGTCGGAAGAGCACAAAAAAAAACTCGACTCGCCAAAAGGCGAGCCAAGTTGACGAGTCGAGTCAGAAACTCAACTCGGTTGCTCATGCCTAGTCACGGTGGTGGTGATCAGCCAGCGCTCGAGGAAGGCTTTCGATAGGAAGGTTGCGGCTCGGGACCGCCTGTACCAAAACCTAGGCGCTAGCGTGCTTGGAGAAGGGAGCTCTGGCCCCGCTCCACCCACCTCCCAAGAGGAAGAGGGGGAGGGGGAGGAGGTGGAGGCGGAGGAGGAGGGGGTGGAGGGAGCGGTTGAGTGCACTATTGATTGGGAGTCCTTTGGGAGCATCAGCGAGAGGAAGACGAGGAAAGGGAAGACCTCCACCGTGAAGTGTTCGAAGAAGGCAAAGGGCTCGGGGGAAAGGGAAAGGGAAGGGGAAGGGGAAGGGAAGGGGAAGGGAAGGGGAAGGGAATGAGAAGGGGCAGGGTAAGGGGAAGGGAAGGGGAAGAGGGCACGGGAGGAGGAGGACGACGACGAGGAGGACGAGGAGGACAAGGAGGAGGAAGTCCGCGGACCATGGGATCTCGGCGTGGGAGAGGGGGGAGAGGTCGGAGGGGGGGGTCGGAGGAGGAGGAGGAGGAGGAGGAGGAGGAGGAGGGAGGAGGAGGAGGAGGAGGAGGAGGAGGAAGAGGAGGAAGATGAGGAGGAGGAGGAGGAGGAGGAGGGAGGAGGAGGAGGAGGAGGAGGAGGAGGAGGAGGAGGAGGAGGAGGAGGAGGAGGAGGAGGAGGCCGAGGAGGAGGAGGCCGAGGAGGAGGAGGAGGAGCTGAGGGGAGGAGGAGGAGGAGGAGGCCGAGGAGGGGGAGGAGGCCGAGGAGGAGGAGGAGGCCGAGGAGGAGGAGGAGGAGGAGGCCGAGGAGGAGAGGAGGCCGAGGAGGAGGAGGAGGCCGAGGAGGAGGAGGAGGAGGGGAGGAGGAGGAGGAGGAGGAGGAGGAGGAGGAGGAGGAGGGAGGAGGAGGAGGAGGAGGGAGGAGGAGGGAGGAGGAGGAGGAGGAGGAGGAGGAGGAGGAGGAGGAGGAGGAGGACGACGACGACGACGACGACGAGGAGGACGAGGAGGAGGAGGAGGAAGAGGAGGAGGAGGACGACGACGACGACGATGAGGGGGAGGAGGAGGAGGGGTAGGAGGAGGGGTAGTACCACTTGAGTGGTTTCCACACCACACATCTTGTCCGCACACCTGGTAACTGACTCACCTGGTAGTTTGCGAGGTTGAAGTGGGTTTGCAGGGAGTGATCCCCCCCAGTCAGGAGCTCCTCCGGGATGTTGTTCACGAATGACAACACGCCACCTGGCACGCCGCCACATCACAATATCATATGGGACGTGCATCATGGTACGTGGGATGACAAGCAACCACTAGGTGATTTTGACAAAGTGGTTGCACCTACTATGTACTTGAGTGCCTCATAGTACGTACAAAGCGAAGGCAGGTGAGACAGGAGAAGAAAGGCCAGCAATCAAGTTACCAAGAAGGTTCTACCAGCCTCAGAATCCGCATGGGGAGGGTTGCAGTACTCGGGCGGCTGTAGCTTGGGAAGTACTATCCACAACCACCTGCACAATCCCCACTTGGCACGTTGTGATGCTCGGGGGGTTATCGAACGCCACAGCTGGAAGCGGTGCTTCATGTTGTCTGTGTGTCCCAGTAATCCCATCTATGCCTATGATACCAGCCCCCCCCACTGGGGGTCGAGCCTCACCTGGAGGGTCGTAGTACTCAGGCGGGTCAATGAACGCCATGGCCTCTCTGAAGCGATGCCTCTTGCCGCCCGTGCCGGTAAACTGGAAGGTGGCGTGCATGGCGTATGGCTCCAGACCTATCTTGCGGTACAGGGGAGGAAGGGGGTGGGGGTTGGCGGGCGAGAGACATATGGCGTGCAGACACCAGGGCTAACCATGGTGGAAAAAGCCTTGCGAGGCAGCGGTTCTGAAAAAGCTCGAGCTGAAGGGATGTTCAGGAAGTTTTGATGGAAAACCAGTGATGAACTAGTTTTGGCTTATACAAGCCTTCATCAGCATCTACTGAACATCGGAGCATTCGAGCTGTCTAAATAGTGAGAGTGCGACCCGAGAAAAACTCGAGGGTCCACACCATCCCCGAGAAGGGGTCACTGTAGCCTAGCAAAAAACTAGATAAGTGTAACAAATTTGAAACACTAAACTAGCATTTCCTTGCTGAGACTATAAAATCCTTGATCTTCTTTGGCAGCTTCCATGCAATCAATGCACGTCGGCCGGAGAATAAACCGTGTGTCAGCTTGTCCAGTTGTATTTTGAGTTGACTCAAAATACAACGGGGTGGGGGTTGGGCGGGCGAGAGACATATGGCGTGCATGGCATGGCATGGGGCTTCAGTCCAGGCCTACCGTGCGATACAGGTGCTGGTGGGGAGGGGACAAGAAGGCGGGAGGTGGAGAGGAAGAGAGACGGGGGGTAGGAAGAGTGGGCGGGTGCCTCTTGCCGACCATTCAGCAAACTGAAACGTGGCGTGCATGGCAGATGTATCTAGGGCTACCTGCCTGTACAGGTGCTTGTAGGGAGGGGAGCAAAGCAGGTAGAGACAGGAGGAGAAGGGAGGGCAGAGGGCTGTAGACGTTCAGGATTGTAAGGTGCAGTCAACTCAAGTCAACCTCAGTCAACCACAGTCAAATGCAGCCTCACCAGCACAAAGTAAGTGTGGCCCGAGAAAAACAGTGCCACATGCAATATCCCACGCTTCAGACTCCCACCGAACGCCCAGAACCGGTTATCGTTCCCCTCGGGGTTCACACCGGCCCCAGCTTCACAGTCAACTGAGGTCACGCCCAGTCAACACAAGTCAACTGCAGGCCTCACCTGGACAAAGTAGGTGTGGCCGAGCAGAACAACGAGACTAGGCATGAGCAAAAGGCCAGGACGGACCGGTCCGGACCGGTCCAGAATTTTCCCGGACCGGGCCAATACTTTGAAGGGTACCGCCGAGCGGAGCGGGCCGGTCCGGGTTTGGCCCGCTGGGCCGGGCCGGTCCGGACCGGTCCGACGAGCTGAACGGGCCGGACCGGTCCGGACAGGCCCGTCGTCGGGCCGCGTTCCCGAAGTCGGGCCGGGCTGGCCTGGCCTGAAGTGCGGGCCGTAGCCTGGCCTGCGCGGCTCGGTCATCCGCGGGGTCAAAGATTCGACAATGAAGTCGATTTTTTTACCATCACGACTCATTTTCACAGCAGACAAGAGTCGCAACCAACTACGTAGGCATCTAGGGGCTCCTAACCCTAGGATCCGTGGCAGCCACCATCGTTTTAGTCCAGAGACAACTGCTACCCATAATTTAGGGTAGATCTACGGATGCATTTCTCTTGCGCGACGATTTCTGGCTAGGAAAAGTAGTGCGCTGTTCTCTCTACCCTAGAAAACGTACCCCCTCTGAAAATCGCCGAGCGCCACAGATCCGTTTTCATGAGACTCCTTTGGCGCGTTACTCAAGTTACGAATCGCATTTCTCCACAGTGACTTGTTCGTAAACTACCAACGTTACTCGTCAAACGATCTCAACCTACCTTTGACATTACATTTATTTCGATTTACAATTTGTAGTAGCATGGTTGGCCTGCGATTTGGCCTGCCACTCTGAATAGCTGAAGGTTGCGTCACTAGGCGTGAGGCGAAGTTGGTGGTGCTCGAATCGAGGCAATGGGCGATTTTGGTGGAACGTCGCGTCAGAGCACGATCGCGGGGGCGAGCGCTGTGGGGTTAGTAGTTATGGGTTTCGAGGGGCCCTCCAGCAGGTGATGCTGCCCGATGGGCTCACACATCCACCGGGGAACGGCTGAGGAGGGGGGGGGGAGGAGATGGGAGAGCGCGAGGTTTCTGGGCAGGCGGGGGATGATGACGAAGAGTACCGCATCAGTGGGGAGGAGTTGTCCGAGGAGTCCAGCGACGGCCTGCCAAAACAGCGTAGGCGGGGAGAAGGGAATGACAGGAGGCCCGGAGGTGGTGGGTAGGGCAAAGACGCTAGGGCAGGGAGGGCATCGCACAGGGGGGGGCTGGCAATGGGGAAGGGCACACACCTCCGCGCGGTCGGCCGCGTGGAACGGGCGGCGCAGGGTACGGTGAAGGTCGTGGGGGGGGGGGGGGGGGGGAGGATCGCCGCGTGGTGGGCAGCGAGGGACACCCCTCTCGACGAGGCAATGGAGGCGGTGTAGGCACGCCCTCGGCGCTGCTGCAGGAAAGGGAGGGGGCAAGGGGGGGCTGGGCAGGGGCGAAAGAATCTAAGGCAACTAGAGGAGTGTCCCTTGAGGGGGATGATGAGGGACTTTGAGTGGGATTGGGGTTGGTGGTGCAGGTTGGGATTGGATTGGACATTATCACGTCATTCCAAGGACCCGGCAATGTGCCATGGGTCCTCTTTGGTACTTTATTTATTAGGCTTGGTAACGTGCATACATGACTGCCTGATTCTGGATTTTCGATAGCATGAGGGCCTGCCCTAGCCAACGGCCTAAAAACCAATGGTTCATGGCCTTGTGTGCCACCTCCCATGCATAGCTGCTTATCCTGCGCATTTAGGGGACCATGAGACACGTTACAAGGGGCGACAACCACCTAGGAAATCTGGCAGAGCAAAGCACGACATCCCCCCATCAATACCCCACCCGAAACAGTAAAAAAGGAGTCCCGGGCCGGCTGGCCCGGTTTTGGCCCGATTTTAGACCGGGCCGGACCAGTCCGGCCACCGGGCCAAGGTCAGCCCAGGTCTAGAAACCCGGGCCGGGCCGACAAATCTGGGAATCCGGCCCGGGACAGGCCGGCCTGGCCCGGCTCGGTTTCTAACCGAGCCGACCCAAAACCGGGCCGGGCCGAGCCGGCCGTGCCGTTGCTCAGGCATAAACGAGACAGGCAGTATCCCCAGCTTCAGACTGCCATCGAACGCCCAAGACGCTTTATCCTTGATCTCGGGGTTGACATCAGGCCCCATCTTCCAGTCAATTCAAGTTAGACATGGGCAGCATGCCGAGCCTGGCTCGACTTGGCTCGCCAGGGGCGACAGGAACGGCTGTGGTGTGTCAGTGCCTTCTACAATCCCTAGGTGTGGGAAACAGAGTCGGTCAAACCGGACCCATGTGGCTGGGAGCACCTGAGAAGAAAGGCAGGGCGAAGGATTTGTGGGGAGAGGAAGGGAGCAGATGACTCGGCTGTATCTGCAGCAGGGCAAAGGAAAGCGGTTGCGGGGACAGCAAGGTTCGCTGCACCACCATGTGGTCAACTAGATTCGGTGAAAGCACACCCATGTGGTGGGTAGTACCTGCGGGGAGAGGCAGGCCGATATTTAAAGGCGGTGTTGGAACAGAAAGGAAGCGGCTGAACCCTCTTCACCTCCAGAAGGGCAAACACGTTGCTGGGATGGGAAGGCTCACTCACTGCACCTCCACTCCAATGCTCGACCCGGTGGTCCAGGGGGGAGAAATGAGGCAGCTATTTTGTAAGGCGCCCCTGAAGTAACCTCCAGCAGGCAAAGGCGTTGCTGGGATGAAAAGCTCACTTCATCCTCCACAGGGTCGACAACAGGGCCGACAAATGAGGCATCTACTTTTTAGATGCCTGTTAAAACAGCCAGACTAGAGGCTAAGAGGCAGAGGGGGCAGACTAACCAGCGTTCGGTTGAGTATGGTTGCAATGGCGAGAGCTGATCTGAGATTGGTTAGCTGCAAGACGGGAGCACGGAGAGGCACAGAGAAGCAGGGGAGAAGCACAGAGAGGCACAGAGGGGAATTGTAAAAAACAATACCAACTCGTTGACAAGGTTGAAATGGGTTTGCAGGGAGTGATCCCCCGCAGTCAGCAGCAGCTGGGGCTTGACCCGACAGCAAGGTAAAAAAAAACGGTGTGTTTTTTTTTTTTTCTTTTTTAGACCGTTTGTTACCGGTCCCGTATTTTTCGGCTGTATTAAACGGTTTTAAAACGGTTCTGAAAGTTAGCTTTTCTTTGGTTGAAAAAAATGGTTGTTTTATACGGTCGAAGTTTTAAAATCGTGGGTGTACTGCCACCAACTCGAATTTGACACCGAATTCGAACGGCTGGGTATACACCCAACCGTCCCTGAATGTTCGGTCAACACATTCCCGAAGCGCGAAATTTCGCGTGTCCCGAGGAGCGCATTTTGGAATTCTCGCCAGACCTGTTGCGAAACCAAAATCGGTTTCGCAAGGGGCTGGCGATTTCGATCGCGCCCAATAGCGGCTGTCGCGAATTGTGCGACTCACGCAACCGAGTCGCATTCGAAATCGCAATTTCACCCCTCCAACCCGCTCTTGCAACCCTAACCCAACTAAACCTTACGCGCTAGAGATACAAATTACAGAGCAGCAACAGAGAGCATTCATTAGTCTAGCATTATAGAATTAGTAGCAAAACTCCGCCCACCCAGCGTGGCTGAACTACTTCACGCCGATTCCAGCGCGTATTTCAGGCGCGATCTAGCGCACAACAGCTTCGCGAGGCGTAGGCGCCTTATCGCCATTGCCCCGCGCACCATCCCCTTTGTGGGCGCATGTGAAGCATACTTGTGATGACGATGGTAAGGTCATACGTCGGAATGCTGCACTGCAGTTTGAACATTTCGGGTAGTGCGACACGCATCCAAGAGCACCTTTACGGCACCCCTGCGTCGAAATTCAAGAATATCGCGAAGTGCAAATCCGACTTCGCAAGGGTGCGATTTGCAAGGTAGGACATACTCGCGTTGTCCAAGTCGTGGTGGACAACGCGAGCAACAACAAGAGGGTGGCGGCTGACCTTGGTGAAGGATTCCCCATGGTATTCTTCACCAATTGTGCGGCGCATTGCCTAGACTGGATGCTCAGTGACCTTGGGATGATAGGCGTGGTGCAGAAGGTCCTGTGGCAAGCGCACCAAGTAGCCATGCTCGTGGGCTAGCGCCACCGCCGTGACCCTCTTTCGAGAGGTCTTTAGTGAGTTGGAACTAGTCCGTCCCGAGGCTACTCAATTTGGCACACAAGTCCTTACGGTGGGCCGTTTCTTGGAGGTAAAAAGCAGTTGAAGAGCATGGTGATTAGCAAGGAGTGCACGGGTGCCTGCAGCGAAAACGAAGAAGGGGAAGCGGATTCAAAGCCTTCTCCTAGACGAGGCTTTTTAAAGCTCGGTGGAGGCGGTGCAAAAGTTGTTGATGCCGATTTATGAGGTGCTTCGGGCGGTGGACACCCGTTCTCACCTCATGGGGCGCATCTATGGGTTGATGCTCGATGTGACAATGAAGACCAACAAGGTCGCGGAGGCCGCAAATACTTGCCCATCCCCCCTCCGCCCATATTCCGTTGCGTACCTTATTTGTACGGTCGATGGCAATTCGCAGACCCTACCTTTCCGGCCCTTACTAACCCGCATCAAACCGTTGTTCTCTGAATTTGTTTTCAGCCACATTCTTCATCAAGAGAACATGGCTCCTCTTGGCACGAAAGGCATCATTCTTGACCAAGGTGCAAAGGATCATAGCAGCACGTTGGAGCAATCCACAACCCGCTCCATACTGGGGTTGGCTACTCAACCCCATAACCGTTTTGCCAAGGAGATGAGGACCGACTTGGAGATTGTAAGGGGGTGAAAAGGGTGACGTAGCGTGGCAGGCGACCATTCAGCACCGCACACTCCTCCAGACCCAACTCGCACACTCCCATAGCGAGGAGGGGACGTTGGGCAGTTGAAGCACGGTGGGCCACCATCCTTGAGGAGAGTGGGCGCTCTCGGAGGCGGAATGGTTGACCACTTTGGAGAGGAGGTGAGGGCGTTGCAGGAGATCGCTGGTGAAGTGCTCTCCCAACCACGACCATATCCGAGGTGAGCGAGCGTGGTCGCATTCGCACGGGTGCACGTCAAGATCCCAACCGGATGAACGCTCCCACCTTGATTGACGTCACGCCGTACTCGGCCGAAAATGTTGGACAAGCGTTCGAGCTTTGACTCGTGACTTGACCGACTCAACTCGACTCGACTCGGGATGAGTCGGGAAGAGCACAAAAAAAAACTCGACTCGCAAAAGGCGAGCCAAGTTGACGAGTCGAGTCAGAAACTCAACTCGGTTGCTCATGCTAGTCACGGTGGTGGTGATCAGCCAGCGCTCGAGGAAGGCTTTCGATAGGAAGGTTGCGGTCGGGACCGCCTGTACCAAAACCTAGGCGCTAGCGTGCTTGGAGAAGGGAGCTCTGGCCCCGCTCCACCCACCTCCCAAGAGGAAGAGGGGGAGGGGAGGAGGTGAGGCGGAGGAGGAGGGGTGGAGGAGCGGTGAGTGCACTATTGATTGGGTCCTTTGGGAGCATCAGCGAGAGGAAGACGAGGAAAGGGAAGACCTCCACGTGAAGTGTTCGAAGAAGGCAAAGGGCTCGGGGAAAGGGAAAGGGAAGGGGAAGGGAAGGGGAAGGGGAAGGGAAGGGAAGGGAATGAGAAGGGCAGGGTAAGGGAAGGGGAAGGGAAGAGGCACGGAGAGGAGGACGACGACGAGGAGGACGAGGAGGACAAGGAGGAGGAAGTCCGCGGACCATGGGATCTCGGCGTGGGAGAGGGGGGAGAGGTCGGAGGGGGGGTCGGAGGAGGAGGAGGAGGAGGAGGAGGAGGAGGAGGAGGAGGAGGAGGAGGAGGAGAGGAGGAGGAGGAGAAGAGGAGGAAGATGAGGAGGAGGAGGAGGAGGAGAGGAGGAGGAGGAGGAGGAGGAGGAGGAGGAGGAGGAGGAGGAGGAGAGGAGGAGGAGGGAGGAGGCCGAGGAGGGAGGCGAGCGAGGAGGAGGAGGAGGAGGCTGAGGAGGAGGAGGAGGAGGAGGCGAGGAGGGGAGGGAGGCGAGGAGGAGGAGGAGGCCGAGGAGGAAGGAGGAGGGAGGGAGGAGAGGAGGAGGAGAGGAGGAGCGAGCCGAGGAAGGAGAGGAGGAGGAGGAGGAGGAGGAGGAGAAGGAGGAGGAGGAGGAGGGAGGAGGAGAGGAGGAGGAGAGAGGAGGAGGAGGAGGAGGAGGAGGAGAAGGAGGAGACGACGACGACGACGACGAGGAGAGAGGAGAGGAGGAGGAAGAGGAGGAGGAGGACGACGACGACGACGATGAGGGGAGGAGGAGGAGGGTAGGAGGAGGGTATACCACTTGATGGTTTCCACACCACACATCTTGTCCGCACACCTGGTAACTGACTCACCTGGTAGTTGGCGAGGTTGAAGTGGTTTGCAGGGAGTGATCCCCCCAGTCAGGAGCTCCTCCGGGATGTTGTCACGAATGACAACACGCCACCTGGCACGCCGCCACATCACAATATCATATGGGACGTGCATCATGGTACGTGGGATGACAAGCAACCACTAGGTGATTTTGACAAAGGTGTTGCACCTACTATTGTACCTTGATGCCTCATAGTACGTACAAAGCGAAGGCAGGTGAGACAGGAGAAGATAAGGCCAGCAATCAAGTTACCAAGAAGGTTCTACCAGCTCAGAATCCGCATGGGAGGTTGCAGTACTCGGGCGGCTGTAGCTTGGGAGTACTATCCACAACCACCTGCACCAATCCCACTTGGCACGTTGTGATGCTCGGGGGGTTATCGAACGCACAGCTGGAAGCGGTGCTTCATGTTGTCTGTGTGTCCAGTAATCCCATCTATGCCTATGATACAGCCCCCCCCACTGGGGGGTCGAGCCTCACCTGGAGGTCGTAGTACTCAGGCGGGTCAATGAACGCCATGGCCTCTCTGAAGCGATGCCTCTTGCGCCGTGCCGGTAAACTGGAAGGTGGCGTGCATGGCGTATGGCTCCAGACCTATCTTGCCGGTACAGGTGCTGCTTGGGAGGAAGGGGTGGGTTGGGCGGGCGAGAGACATATGGCGTGCAGACCAATGGACACATATTTTTCAGGGCTAACCATGGTGGAAAAAGCCTTGCGAGGCAGCGGTTCTGAAAAAGCTCGAGCTGAAGGGATGTTCAGGAAGTTTGATGGAAACCAGTGATGAACTAGTTTTGGCTTATACAAGCCTTCATCAGCATCTACTGAACATCGGAGCATTCGACTGTCTAAATAGTGAGAGTGCGACCCGAGAAAACTCGAGGGTCCACACCATCCCCGAGAAGGGTCACTGTAGCCTAGCAAAAACTAGATAAGTGTAACAAATTTGAAACACTAAACTAGCATTTCCTTGCTGAGACTATAAAATCCTTGATCTTCTTTGGCAGCTTCCATGCAATCAATGCACGTCGGCGGAGAATAAACCGTGTGTCAGCTTGTCAGTTGTATTTGAGTTGACTCAAATACAACGGGGTGGGGGTTGGGCGGGCGAGAGACATATGGCGTGCATGGCATGGCATGGGGCTTCAGTCCAGGCCTACCGTGCGATACAGTGCTGGTGGGAGGGACAAGAAGGCGGGAGGTGGAGAGGAAGAGAGACGGGGGTAGGAAGATGGGCGGGTGCCTCTTGCCGACCATTCAGCAAACTGAAACGTGGCGTGCATGGCAGATGTATCTAGGGCTACCTGCCTGTACAGGTGCTGTAGGAGGGGAGCAAAGCAGGTAGAGACAGGAGAGAAGGGAGGGCAGAGGGCTGTAGACGTTCAGGATGTAAGGTGCAGTCAACTCAAGTTCAACCTCAGTCAACCACAGTCAATGCAGCCTCACAGCACAAGTAAGTGTGGCCCGAGAAAACAGTGCCACATGCAATATCCCACGCTTCAGACTCCCACCGAACGCCCAGAACCGGTTATCGTTCCCTCGGGGTTCACACCGCCCCAGCTTCACAGTCAACTGAGGTCACGCCCAGTCAACACAAGTCAACTGCAGGCCTCACCTGGACAAAGTAGGTGTGGCCCGAGCAGAACAACGAGACTAGGCATGAGCAAAAGGCCAGGACGGACCGGGCCGGTCCGACCGGTCCAGAATTTTCCCGGACCGGCCAATACTTTGAAGGGTACCGGCCCGAGCGGAGCGGCCGGTCCGGGTTTGGCCCGCTGGGCCGGGCGGTCCGGACCGGTCCGACGAGCTGAACGGGCCGACCGGTCCGACAGGCCCGTCGTCGGGCCGCGTTCCCGAAGTCGGGCCGGGCTGGCCTGGCCTGAATGCGGGCGTAGCCTGGCCTGCGCGGCTCGTCATCGCGGGGTCAAGATTCGACAATGAGTCGATTTTTTTACCATCACGACTCATTTCACAGCAGACAAGAGTCGCAACAACTACGTAGCATCTAGGGGCTCCTAACCCTAGGATCCGTGGCAGCCACCATCGTTTTAGTCCAGAGACAACTGCTACCCATAATTTAGGGTAGATCTACGGATGCATTTCTCTGCGCGACGATTTCTGGCTAGGAAAAGTATGCGCTGTTCTCTCTACCCTAGAAAACGTACCCCCTCTGAAAATCGCCGAGCGCCACAGATCCGTTTCATAGACTCCTTTGGCGCGTTACTCAAGTTACGAATCGCATTTCTCCACAGTGACTTGTTCGTAAACTACCAACGTTACTCGTCAAACGATCTCAACCTACCTTTGACTTACATTTATTTCGATTTACAATTTGTAGTAGCATGGTTGGCCTGCGATTTGGCCTGCCACTCTGAATAGCTGAAGGTTCCGCGCGTCACTAGGCGTGAGGCGAAGTTGGTGGTGCTCGAATCGAGGCAATGGGCGATTTTGGTGGAACGTCGCGTCAGAGCACGATCGCGGGGCGACGCTGGTGGGTTAGTAGTTATGGGTTTCGAGGGGCCCTCCAGCAGGTGATGCTGCCCGATGGGCTCACACATCCACCGGGGAACGGCTGAGGAGGGGGGGGGAGGAGGAGATGGGAGAGCGCGAGGTTTCTGGGCAGGCGGGGGATGATGACGAAGAGTACCGCATCAGTGGGGAGGAGTTGTCCGAGATCCAGCGACGGCCTGCCAAAACAGCGTAGGCGGGGAGAAGGGAATGACAGGAGGCCCGGAGTGGTGGTAGGGCAAAGACGCTAGGCAGGGAGGGCATCGCACAGGGGGGGGGCTGGCAATGGGGAAGGGCACACACCTCCGCGCGGTCGGCCGCGTGGAACGGGCGCGCAGGTACGGTGAAGGTCGTGGGGGGGGGGGGGGGGGGGGGGGGGGAGGATCGCCGCGTGGTGGGCAGCGAGGGGACACCCTCTCGACGAGGCAATGGAGGGCGGTGTAGGCACGCCCTCGGCGCTGCTGCAGGAAAGGGAGGGGCAAGGCGGGGGCTGGGCAGGGGCGAAAGAATCTAAGGCAACTAGAGGAGTGTCCCTTGAGGGGGATGATGAGGGACTTTGAGTGGGATTGGGGTTGGTGGTGCAGGTTGGGATTGGATTGGACATTATCACGTCATTCCAAGGACCCGGCAATGTGCCATGGGTCCTCTTTGGTACTTTATTTATTAGGCTTGGTAACGTGCATACATGACTGCCTGATTCTGGATTTTCGATAGCATGAGGGCCTGCCCTAGCCAACGGCCTAAAAACCAATGGTTCATGGCCTTGTGTGCCACCTCCCATGCATAGCTGCTTATCCTGCGCATTTAGGGGACCATGAGACACGTTACAAGGGGCGACAACCACCTAGGAAATCTGGCAGAGCAAAGCACGACATCCCCCCATCAATACCCCACCCGAAACAGTAAAAAAGGAGTCCCGGGCCGGCTGGCCCGGTTTTGGCCCGATTTTAGACCGGGCCGGACCAGTCCGGCCACCGGGCCAAGGTCAGCCCAGGTCTAGAAACCCGGGCCGGGCCGACAAATCTGGGAATCCGGCCCGGGACAGGCCGGCCTGGCCCGGCTCGGTTTCTAACCGAGCCGACCCAAAACCGGGCCGGGCCGAGCCGGCCGTGCCGTTGCTCAGGCATAAACGAGACAGGCAGTATCCCCAGCTTCAGACTGCCATCGAACGCCCAAGACGCTTTATCCTTGATCTCGGGGTTGACATCAGGCCCCATCTTCCAGTCAATTCAAGTTAGACATGGGCAGCATGCCGAGCCTGGCTCGACTTGGCTCGCCAGGGGCGACAGGAACGGCTGTGGTGTGTCAGTGCCTTCTACAATCCCTAGGTGTGGGAAACAGAGTCGGTCAAACCGGACCCATGTGGCTGGGAGCACCTGAGAAGAAAGGCAGGCGAAGGATTTGTGGGGAGAGGAAGGGAGCAGATGACTCGGCTGTATCTGCAGCAGGGCAAAGGAAAGCGGTTGCGGGGACAGCAAGGTTCGCTGCACCACCATGTGGTCAACTAGATTCGGTGAAAGCACACCCATGTGGTGGGTAGTACCTGCGGGGAGAGGCAGGCCGATATTTAAAGGCGGTGTTGGAACAGAAAGGAAGCGGCTGAACCCTCTTCACCTCCAGAAGGGCAAACACGTTGCTGGGATGGGAAGGCTCACTCACTGCACCTCCACTCCAATGCTCGACCCGGTGGTCCAGGGGGGAGAAATGAGGCAGCTATTTTGTAAGGCGCCCCTGAAGTAACCTCCAGCAGGGCAAAGGCGTTGCTGGGATGAAAAGCTCACTTCATCCTCCACAGGGTCGACAACAGGGCCGACAAATGAGGCATCTACTTTTTAGATGCCTGTTAAAACAGCCAGACTAGAGGCTAAGAGGCAGAGGGGGCAGACTAACCAGCGTTCGGTTGAGTATGGTTGCAATGGCGAGAGCTGATCTGAGATTGGTTAGCTGCAAGACGGGAGCACGGAGAGGCACAGAGAAGCAGGGGAGAAGCACAGAGAGGCACAGAGGGGAATTGTAAAAAACAATACCAACTCGTTGACAAGGTTGAAATGGGTTTGCAGGGAGTGATCCCCCGCAGTCAGCAGCAGCTGGGGCTTGACCCGACAGCAAGGTAAAAAAAAACGGTGTGTTTTTTTTTTTTCTTTTTTAGACCGTTTGTTACGGTCCCGTATTTTTCGGCTGTATTAAACGGTTTAAAACGGTTCTGAAAGTTAGCTTTTCTTTGGTTGAAAAAAATGGTTGTTTTATACGGTCGAAGTTTTAAAATCGTGGGTGTACTGCACCAACTCGAATTTGACACCGAATTCGAACGGCTGGGTATACACCCAACCGTCCCTGAATGTTCGGTCAACACATTCCCGAAGCGCGAAATTTCGCGTGTCCCGAGGAGCGCATTTTGGAATTCTCGCCAGACCTGTTGCGAAACCAAAATCGGTTTCGCAAGGGGCTGGCGATTTCGATCGCGCCCAATAGCGGGCTGTCGCGAATTGTGCGACTCACGCAACCGAGTCGCATTTCGAAATCGCAATTTCACCCCTCCCAACCCGCTCTTGCAACCCTAACCCAACTAAACCTTACGCGCTAGAGATACAAATTACAGAGCAGCAACAGAGAGCATTCATTAGTCTAGCATTATAGAATTAGTAGCAAAACTCCGCCCACCCAGCGTGGCTGAACTACTTCACGCCGATTCCAGCGCGTATTTCAGGCGCGATCTAGCGCACAACAGCTTCGCGAGGCGTAGGCGCCTTATCGCCATGCCCCGCGCACCATCCCCTTTGTGGGCGCATGTGAAGCATACTTGTGATGACGATGGTAAGGTCATACGGTCGGAATGCTTGCACTGCAGTTTGAACATTTCGGGTAGTGCGACACGCATCCAAGAGCACCTTTACGGCACCCCTGCGTCGAAATTCAAGAATATCGCGAAGTGCAAATCCGACTTCGCAAGGGTGCGATTTGCAAGGTTGGACATACTCGCGTTGTCCAAGTCGTGGTGGACAACGCGAGCAACAACAAGAGGGTGGCGGCTGACCTTGGTGAAGGATTCCCCATGGTATTCTTCACCAATTGTGCGGCGCATTGCCTAGACTGGATGCTCAGTGACCTTGGGATGATAGGCGTGGTGCAGAAGGTCCTGTGGCAAGCGCACCAAGTAGCCATGCTCGTGGGCTAGCGCCACCGCCGTGACCCTCTTTCGAGAGGTCTTTAGTGAGTTGGAACTAGTCCGTCCCGAGGCTACTCAATTTGGCACACAAGTCCTTACGGTGGGCCGTTTCTTGGAGGTAAAAAGCAGTTGAAGAGCATGGTGATTAGCAAGGAGTGCACGGGTGCCTGCAGCGAAAACGAAGAAGGGGAAGCGGATTCAAAGCCTTCTCCTAGACGAGGCTTTTTAAAGCTCGGTGGAGGCGGTGCAAAAGTTGTTGATGCCGATTTATGAGGTGCTTCGGGCGGTGGACACCCGTTCTCACCTCATGGGGCGCATCTATGGGTTGATGCTCGATGTGACAATGAAGACCAACAAGGTCGCGGAGGCCGCAAATACTTGCCCATCCCCCCTCCGCCCATATTCCGTTGCGTACCTTATTTGTACGGTCGATGGCAATTCGCAGACCCTACCTTTCCGGCCCTTACTAACCCGCATCAAACCGTTGTTCTCTGAATTTGTTTTCAGCCACATTCTTCATCAAGAGAACATGGCTCCTCTTGGCCACGAACAAGGCATCATTCTTGACCAAGGTGCAAAGGATCATAGCAGCACGTTGGGACGGCCAACTCCACAACCCGCTCCATACTGTGGGTTGGCTACTCAACCCCCATAACCGTTTTGCCAAGGAAGTGAGGACCGACTTGGAGATTGGTAAGGGGGTGAAAAGGGTGACGTAGGCGTGGCAGGCGACCATTCAGCACCGCACACTCCTCCAGACCCAACTCGCACACTCCCATAGCGAGGAGGGGACGTTGGGCAGTTTGGAAGCACGGTGGGCCACCACTCACCTTGAGGAGAGTGGGCGGCTCTCGGAGGCGGAATGGTTGACCACCTTTGGAGAGGAGGTGAGGGCGTTGCAGGAGATCGCGGTGAAGGTGCTCTCCCAACCCACGACCATATCCGAGGTGGAGCGAGCGTGGTCGCATTCGCACGGGTGCGACGTCAAGATCCCAACCGGATGAACGCCTCCCACCTTGATTGACGTCACGGCCGTGACTCGGCCGAAAATGTTGGACAAGCCGTTCGAGCTTTGACTCGTGACTTGACCGACTCAACTCGACTCGACTCGGGATGAGTCGGAAGAGCACAAAAAAAAACTCGACTCGCCAAAAGGCGAGCCAAGTTGACGAGTCGAGTCAGAAACTCAACTCGGTTGCTCATGCCTAGTCACGGTGGTGGTGATCAGCCAGCGCTCGAGGAAGGCTTTCGATAGGAAGGTTGCGGCTCGGGACCGCCTGTACCAAAACCTAGGCGCTAGCGTGCTTGGAGAAGGGAGCTCTGGCCCCGCTCCACCCACCTCCCAAGAGGAAGAGGGGGAGGGGGAGGAGGTGGAGGCGGAGGAGGAGGGGGTGGAGGGAGCGGTTGAGTGCACTATTGATTGGGAGTCCTTTGGGAGCATCAGCGAGAGGAAGACGAGGAAAGGGAAGACCTCCACCGTGAAGTGTTCGAAGAAGGCAAAGGGCTCGGGGAAAGGGAAAGGGAAGGGGAAGGGGAAGGGGAAGGGGAAGGGAAGGGGAAGGGGAATGAGAAGGGGCAGGGTAAGGGGAAGGGGAAGGGGAAGAGGGCACGGGAGGAGGAGGACGACGACGAGGAGGACGAGGAGGACAAGGAGGAGGAAGTCCGCGGACCATGGGATCTCGGCGTGGGAGAGGGGGGAGAGGTCGGAGGGGGGGGTCGGAGGAGGAGGAGGAGGAGGAGGAGGAGGAGGAGGAGGAGGAGGAGGAGGAGGAGGAGGAGGAGGAAGAGGAGGAAGATGAGGAGGAGGAGGAGGAGGAGGAGGAGGAGGAGGAGGAGGAGGAGGAGGAGGAGGAGGAGGAGGAGGAGGAGGGAGGAGGAGGAGGAGGCCGAGGAGGAGGAGGCCGAGGAGGAGGAGGAGGAGGAGGCTGAGGAGGAGGAGGAGGAGGAGGAGGCCGAGGAGGGGAGGAGGCCGAGGAGGAGGAGGAGGCCGAGGAGGAGGAGGAGGAGGAGGCCGAGGAGGAGGAGGAGGCCGAGGAGGAGGAGGAGGCCGAGGCCGAGGAGGAGGAGGAGGAGGAGGAGGAGGAGGAGGAGGAGGAGGAGGAAGGAGGAGGAGGAGGAGGAGGGGGAGGAGGAGGAGGAGGAGGAGGAGGAGGAGGAGGAGGAGGAGGAGGAGGAGGAGGAGGAGGAGGAGGACGACGACGACGACGACGACGACGAGGAGGACGAGGAGGAGGAGGAGGAAGAGGAGGAGGAGGACGACGACGACGACGATGAGGGGGAGGAGGAGGAGGGGTAGGAGGAGGGGTAGTACCACTTGAGTGGTTTCCACACCACACATCTTGTCCGCACACCTGGTAACTGACTCACCTGGTAGTTGGCGAGGTTGAAGTGGGTTTGCAGGGAGTGATCCCCCCCAGTCAGGAGCTCCTCCGGGATGTTGTTCACGAATGACAACACGCCACCTGGCACGCCGCCACATCACAATATCATATGGGACGTGCATCATGGTACGTGGGATGACAAGCAACCACTAGGTGATTTTGACAAAGGTGGTTGCACCTACTATGTACCTTGAGTGCCTCATAGTACGTACAAAGCGAAGGCAGGTGAGACAGGAGAAGAAAGGCCAGCAATCAAGTTACCAAGAAGGTTCTACCAGCCTCAGAATCCGCATGGGGAGGGTTGCAGTACTCGGGCGGCTGTAGCTTGGGAGTACTATCCACAACCACCTGCACAATCCCCACTTGGCACGTTGTGATGCTCGGGGGGGTTATCGAACGCCACAGCTGGAAGCGGTGCTTCATGTTGTCTGTGTGTCCCAGTAATCCCATCTATGCCTATGATACCAGCCCCCCCACTGGGGGGTCGAGCCTCACCTGGAGGGTCGTAGTACTCAGGCGGGTCAATGAACGCCATGGCCTCTCTGAAGCGATGCCTCTTGCAGCCCGTGCCGGTAAACTGGAAGGTGGCGTGCATGGCGTATGGCTCCAGACCTATCTTGCGGTACAGGTGCTGCTTGGGGAGGAAGGGGGTGGGGGTTGGGCGGGCGAGAGACATATGGCGTGCAGACCAATGGACACATATTTTTCAGGGCTAACCATGGTGGAAAAAGCCTTGCGAGGCAGCGGTTCTGAAAAAGCTCGAGCTGAAGGGATGTTCAGGAAGTTTTGATGGAAAACCAGTGATGAACTAGTTTTGGCTTATACAAGCCTTCATCAGCATCTACTGAACATCGGAGCATTCGAGCTGTCTAAATAGTGAGAGTGCGACCCGAGAAAAACTCGAGGGTCCACACCATCCCCGAGAAGGGGTCACTGTAGCCTAGCAAAAAAACTAGATAAGTGTAACAAATTTGAAACACTAAACTAGCATTTCCTTGCTGAGACTATAAAATCCTTGATCTTCTTTGGCAGCTTCCATGCAATCAATGCACGTCGGCCGGAGAATAAACCGTGTGTCAGCTTGTCCAGTTGTATTTTGAGTTGACTCAAAATACAACGGGGTGGGGGTTGGGCGGGCGAGAGACATATGGCGTGCATGGCATGGCATGGGGCTTCAGTCCAGGCCTACCGTGCGATACAGGTGCTGGTGGGGAGGGGACAAGAAGGCGGGAGGTGGAGAGGAAGAGAGACGGGGGGTAGGAAGAGTGGGCGGTGCCTCTTGCCGACCATTCAGCAAACTGAAACGTGGCGTGCATGGCAGATGTATCTAGGGCTACCTGCCTGTACAGGTGCTTGTAGGGAGGGGAGCAAAGCAGGTAGAGACAGGAGGAGAAGGGAGGGCAGAGGGCTGTAGACGTTCAGGATTGTAAGGTGCAGTCAACTCAAGTCAACCTCAGTCAACCACAGTCAAATGCAGCCTCACCAGCACAAAGTAAGTGTGGCCCGAGAAAAACAGTGCCACATGCAATATCCCACGCTTCAGACTCCCACCGAACGCCCAGAACCGGTTATCGTTCCCCTCGGGGTTCACACCGGCCCCAGCTTCACAGTCAACTGAGGTCACGCCCAGTCAACACAAGTCAACTGCAGGCCTCACCTGGACAAAGTAGGTGTGGCCCGAGCAGAACAACGAGACTAGGCATGAGCAAAAGGCCAGGACGGACCGGTCCCGAGCTACATCTTACGCCGAGCTTACATCTTAACCCGAGCTACATCTTACCCCGACCTACATCTTACCCCGAGCTACATCTTATTCCGAGTCCCATCTTATTCCGAGCCCCATCTTACCCCAAGCCACATCTTATCCCAAGCCACATCTTATCCCAAGCCACATCTTATCCCAAGCCACATCTTACCCCGAGCCACAACATGGCCCAAGCCACAACATGGCCCGAGCCACAACATGGCCCGAGCCACAACATGGCCCGAGCCACAACATGCCCCGAGCCACATCTTACCCGGAGCCAGTGTCACAAATCAGCAGCTGCACTCCCAGCGACAGGAAGACGTTGATGAGGGTCACCTTCTCCCGCCCCATGGCATGGAACACCGGCGTGCCCCACCCAGGTTCGTCTGTGGTCATGCCGCTCTCTAGATCGAACACAGGCACGCCCTCCCAGAAGAGAGCCTCCAGGAACTTGGTGTCCATGGCGCCTGATGGGATCAGCACGAGCAGAAAGGAGCGGAGGGGGGAGCATGGGGGTAAGCCCCCCCCCCCCCCCCCCAATGGTATGGAACACCGGCACGTCACCACCACCAACAGGTTATCCCTCTGCTTGTGCTGCAACATCTCTCACCCCCTAGTATGCCCAAACAGACCACCCAACCACCGTTCCCCCCCCCCATCGCCTCACCAACAAGGATGTTGTACACGCCCAAATCCGTCAGATGCCGCACCCAGTTGAGCACAAAATCCAAGAACGCATAAAAGGCGAACGTGACCACCACCACGTTCTCCCTCTGCCGGTGCTGCACCATCTCCGACGTCCCATCTCCCACCTCTCATGCTCAATAAAACCGGAGGAACCAAACTCCCCCACCCCACCCCCCCCCCCCCCCCCCCCCCCTCAATTGCCTCACCAACAAGGATATTGTACACGCCCAGATCTGTCAGGTGCCACACCCCAGTTGAGCACAAAATCCAGAAATGCGTGGTTGGCAAACGTGACGACCACCACGTTCTCCCTCTGCCGCTGCTGCACCATCTCGCGCCGCAGAGCGAACTCCTCCCTGGCAGGGACGGCGCTACCTAGGGGAGGCTTCTCCCAGATCTCCCGCTTCAGGTCCGGCAGTAGGGGCCTGCCCTCGTGCAGGATGGGACGCACGCCAGTGGCGAACTGCTGGTCGCCAGATGCACCTGCACCAGGTGAGTCTGTGGTGGGTGGATTTGTGGAGGTAGCATCTGTTGCTGCTTCTCTAGCGGTTGTTCCTGCTGTCGGATTCGTTACTTCAGCTGTATCGGATGGTAGATTCAGGCCGCCTTCTGAGCTGCCTGGGGATTCCTGGCTGCGCCCTTCCGCTGTTGCTCCTACTTCTTCCGCTGCTCCAGTTGATCCTGCTGCCGCATCCTCCACTAAAACGGTTTTGACTGGCATGGCGGCGTCGGGGTCAGCCACGTGCAGAGCCATGAGAGCAATTGACGCTTCCTTCGGCAGACCCTGGAGTGAGGCCGTCTCGAGACCTGTGCGTAAGGAGAGGATAGACAGCGAAAATAGCCAGAGAGGGGAAAAACAGCAATCGGGTGAGTGGGTGAGCAGCGTCGAGAGGGTGAGCAGCGTCGAGAGGGTGAGCAGCGTCGAGAGGGTGAGCAGCGTCGAGAGGGTGAGCAGCGTCGAGAAGGTGAGCAGCGTCGAGAGGGTGAGCAGCGTCGAGAGGGTGAGCAATGTCACTCATGGTCTTGGGAAGAGCAGCAGTGCGAATTCAGTCGCTTGAGCAACAAGAACGAGAGTAAAAAAATCCTAGGCAAGAGATTTGCTTCGTAAAAACTCTTCACTCAAATTTACCAGGTCGCAAACATGTTTCGGCTTACGGGGATCAAACCCGCCGAGCCTTCATCAGTGCTACTGGACATAAGAGATCACGAGTCTAGGCATGAGCTAAGTAACAACCCACACCCTCCAAAACAATTCTCAAGACTATCAACTACCCAGATTGCCTATCAATGGGCATTCGCCAACACAGCAGTGGGTAAAAACCCGAGGTTGCAGGTGTCAGTCTTCAGGAGGGTCTTCTTCCGAACTGTCGATAAGCCTTGGTAACTTGGCTCGCACAAGTAACTTTTGAAGGTTACGTGCACACCTCCATGCAATGAAAATATTCCTCATATAAAATCCGCGTGAGTTGAGACGATTTTTTAGGCGCCTCAAAAGGACTCCCAGCCTGAGACGTGCTGTTAACGGAGTAAACACCGTCTTCAAAACTAGGGGCCCGCGGTCAGGGGGAGTAGAAATTCGGTGTGCCTGGCGAGCTTCAGTCTGCTCCAATAGGAGCGGGCGTTGTCGGAAGAGAACACTCTGGAAGATGGGTGTCAGAAAATCAGCCGGATAACCCCGATCTCTTAGCCGCTGGAAGAAAGCACGCTTAGAAGCAAAGTAGGTTTGAGCAGATGACGAGCGTAAGAGGTAACGCTTCAGCTCCGCCCGTATGAAACCCATCTTGCAGTGTCGGGGGTGGAATGACGAAAAAGGCAGGTACACCGTACAGGTACCGGTTCATCGGTTTCTGAAAAGTTTTCAGATCCAGGGTACCCTGCTCGGCAAAACGTTGACCCTTGAAGATGACCAGGTCGAGGAAGTCAGCCAAACTGTCTGAAATGTGCCAAGTGAGCTTGATGTTTGGATCGAGCGTGTTGAAGGTGTTCCGGTACTCCTCCAATTCGCTCTTCGATCCGGGCCAAATTATCAACCCGTCGTCGATGTAGTGCACGTGGCACAATGGTGTAGTTCCAGACCACCGCCTTGAAAGAATCTCGTCCAGCCAGCTCATGAAAAGGACAGCAAAGCATACTGCAGCAGGAGTTCCCATAGCAGTCCCTTGTGTCTGTTGGTAGATTCGGCTGTTGAACTCCACGAAAGAATTCATCATGACCCATTCCAGCAAGGCCATGACTGGTTGAGAATTCACGATTCTCCCTCGTTGAAGAAAATTGCCCACCGCATCGAGCCCTCGCCTTAGTGGGATGCTGGGATAAAGCGAGGTGACGTCGTACGTAGCTAGAAGTAGTCCTTTAGGAAATAGACATGGGCACAAGCCGAGCCACGCCTGGCTCGGCTCGGCTCGCGCAGGTGACACCAGGCGAGCCGAAGTCGAGCCGACTCGAAATAGCTCGAATTCGAGCCAGCTGGCTCGCGGTTCGGGTAAGGGGGGGTTTCGCGACAGTCAAAATTCAAATCGATAAACTCCCCCCTAGCCCATTTCGTCAACCAACCCTAATCTTACCATAACGCCCTAGCCTATCGCCCTAGTCTTTCGCCCTCAGCCAGAACCAAACTTGCAGCACCTTGTTTTATTTTTTAAAGATGTAAGAACTACTATTTATAATTAGGGCCACCGAGGCCTTGGCGCGACAGCCCTAGGCGCGCCACCGAGGCCTTGGCTCGTGGTATGCGCACGCTACGGTTTAGGCTTGGGCGTGCGTCCGTTTAGGCCTAGTCCCACGATGCTGAGGGTTGTAGCCTTGTAGGGTGCTTGGTAACGCTTGATTAAGTTAAGCGCACGCATTTGGGGGTGCGCGATCTTGCATTGCACATGGCAAAGACCAAGGCAACGGCGGCTAGGCAAGGGGGGCCGGGAGGGATCGTGTAGCGGGCACAGATGAGGCGGTGGGGGACCAGGGGGGTGTGAGTTCGAGGGCGAATGAGACCAATGGAGGTGGGGCCATGCCCCACATGCCTGAGGAGTGGACAGATTTCCTCCTCTCTCGGCACGGGATGGGACGAGGGGAGGGGGGGGAGAGCCCAGGGGGAGGGGAGGAGGGGTCAAGCGCGCACAAGCTCGCCGCAGCCGGGAGAGCGGTGGCGATGAGAGGGATGGGAGCGAGTCGGAGGAGCGGGAGAGCGGAAAATCTAGCGGCAGCGAGTATGAGGAGGAGGAAGAGGAGGAGGAGGATGATGAGCACGAGATGGAGGGTTTGGTGATGGAGGACGAGGAGTAGGAGGAGAAGGAGGAGGAGGAGGGGGAGGGGAGGGTCAGTCCAAGAAGGGAACGGGTGGGAGTAGGGGGGGAGAGCGCCAGGGGGAAGAGGTAGCGTCAGGAAGGGAGTGGGTTGTGCGACGGCCAGGGACAGGCGCAAAGGGGGGGAGGAGGGGCGGGGAGGAGGGGGGGGAGCGCGCTGCTCCGTCCGTCGGGTTTCAAGGCAGGGGAGGGCGTGCGGATGGGGCTGAGGAGGTGGACCCAGGCGTTGAGCAGGAGGGGAGAAGGAAAAGACAGAAAAAGAACCGTAAGGTTGGAGCAAAGAGGAGCAACAAGCGTGTGACAGAGTGTTTCTTGGGGAGCGAGAGAAAGCGAGTGTGCAAGATGTGCGAGAAGCCGAGGGGCTTCAAGGACAGCCAGACCAGCACAGGTGCCAAGCATATGGCGAGACACCATCGCCCACACTGGGACATGTGGCAGCGGCGCGTGGTCGAGGGTCTTGAGCCAGGAGAGTCGTTTCCGATGGGGGGATACCCACATGTCCCTGATGGGAAGGTGCCCAACGAGTGGTCCAAGACTTGGCCGCACCCCCCCCCCCGGCGCCACCATCCCGTCCCTGTCCCCGGCAGCGGCGGACACGAGGCAGCCCACGATGGACCGGTTCCTTGGCCCACGTGTGTCAGAGCCGCGTTTGCGTCAGGCGATTGTTGAGTTCATCGCCAGCACCGACAGCTCCTTTCGCATCGTAGAGGACCCCGCGGTAAGCGAGCCACCCCACCAGCCCCCCCCTTCACACCCTTCCCTAAGCCTGTGGTCATTGTGTAACCCAAATCCCCCCCCCCCCCCCCTATAACCTACTGGATCTGCCCCACCAAAAGAACCACCCGCCCCACCACCACCTCCTCCCCCCCCCCCGCATGGCGCTAAACACCCCCAAACCCCACACCCCCCTCTCGTTTCCTTTTGGCAGTTCCGCCGCCTCTTGGCTGTATGCAACCCTCAATGCGGCAACGCAATCCCCATACCCGACCGGGACCACCGTTTCCAGGGACCTCCGCTTCTACTCTGAGGCGCACGGGCAGTGGTTAAGTCGGAGTTTGGGGCGGGTTCAGGGAGCGGGCGTGTCTCTTTCACAACGGACATATGGACCGGGGGTAACAGGCGGGGGTACATGACAGTGACGGCGCACTTCATTAGTAGGGATTTTCAGCTGCGCCAGTGTACACTGGAGTTTATGGAGCTGGAAGCGCGCCACATAGGGCGGCTAATTGCAGACGTCTTCGCGCGAGTCATCAGGGAGTGGGAGCTCGTGGGGTTTTGCATGGGGGTGACGACGGATAACGCCAGCAGCAACACAGCTGCCATGCGTCGCCTCGCCGGTCTTGGTTGTCATGCGTTGGCCACGCTCTCCTCGCAGATGGCAGGCACTTCCGGTGAGTGCATGGCGAGCTTGCAGCCCTTGTCTTGTCCACATAGTGTGCTGCTGTTCAGACGATCCACACCTCCCCTCTCAATGGCATGGAGGGTCCTTAAGGATATCCCTCCCCCCTCTCTCCCCCCCCCCTGTGCGCCTTCGTACATACATGCAGCTGCCTGGCGCACATCCTGAACCTTGCTGTCCAGCGTGCGCTGAAGCTGCCAGCGGTGAGGGTGCCGCTGAAGCTCCTACGCGACATTGCCACCTTTGTTGGATGGAGTGAGAGGCGCACGCGGGAATTTGAGGCGCAGCAGCGGTCCGATCCCGCCTGGTGCCTGGACAGCGAGGTTCGCTGGGGGCAGCACGCACGAGATGGTCGCGCGTGCATTGAGGCTCCGCCGATCCCTCACTGCGCACTTCGCAGTGGAGCAGGTACCCTCTTTACAAAAGCCCACTCCACCGCTTCCATTGCGTGCGCGGATGCTCCTACGCGCCCCCTTGTGTGACCCTTCCTTCCATGCCGCCACACCCATTGTATCCCCACTACCCCCCCCCCATGCACCCCTGCTCACTTCCCAGGGAGAGACGGCCGAAGAGCGCGCGAAGTACGTCGCGTTGCGCCTGACCGACGCGCACTGGGACACGCTGGATGTCCTGGCGGAGTTCCAGGCACCGTTCAGTTCCATCACAGTGGCGGCCGAGGGCTCTTCCTACCCCACATCATCTGCTGTTGTGCCACAGTTCAACGAACTGATGGACACCTTGCAGGCATGGCCGTCGCCCCGCCTCATCGGCCGTCAGCTCGTTGGCGTCGCCTTCCCCGTGCTAGAACGGTACTATTGCAGCAGCAGCGATGAGCTCGTGGTGGCGACGTTTTTTTAACCCCGGCATGAGGCTGGTGTTCTTCGAGGTGGATGGAGGGACGGACACCCGCTCTGGGGGAGAGGGAGAGGGGGCAAACGGGGTGGGCGTGGAAAGTGGACTAGCCGGGTCTTCACGCGCGCTAGTTGTGCGTGCCGCTGGTGCGGGGGGGGGGGAGGAGGAGATGGGTTCAGAGAAGGGTGCAGAGGGGGAGGACGAGGAGGACGAGGAGGACGAGGAGGACGAGGAGGATGAGGAGGGGGGAGAGGGGGGAGGAGGGGGGAGGAGGAGCAGCAGGGCAGGCCTGTGGCGAGCTTCAAGCCGTCAGAGGTGCTGACCCTTGTACGGGCACGCTTTGCTGAGTACAGTAAGCGGCTGAAGCAAGCGGCACAGCAACAGGACGGGGGGCAGAGGGGGGGGTGGGCTTGGGAGGGGGGGGTTTGAGGGTGGAGATGCTAGTGGTGTACCAGTGCGGGGTGGCTTGAGCCAGTCTCTCCACGCCAAGCTGCTAGCACGCTCCGCACGACGGGGGGCCACGGTGCGGGATGAGGTGGATCGTTACATTGAGGGGGAGTTGCATGAGGGTTGCCCCTTGGCGTACTGGCGCGAGAGGTCTGATATGCCGGTGTTGCAAGCTATGGCCAAGGATTACCTGGCCATACCAGCAACATCGGCAGCTAGCGAGCGTGTGTTCAGTCAGAGCCGAAATGTGATCACCCGCCATAGGCAGAGGTTGTCTGGGGAGAGCGTGCGAGCCACTATGACACTCAAGTCATGGACTTGCACGCACCCTGGTGTCTCCCTGTTAAAGCCAGGGTGGATCAAAGAGACGGAGAAGCTCGGGGTGGAGGAGCTGTAGGCTGCGTGCTAAACCATGTGGTCGGGTGGTTGCTAGCTTGCGTCTGGTTGCGCTGATAACATGCTGTTGGCAAAGGGGCACTGTTTTAACTTCCATGGTACTACATTAAATTATTGTGACTTTTCAGCTCACCTAGGCTTGTATTGGCGCCCCAAACAGAGCAGCAGTAGTTCACAATCACAATTTGGCACATCCCCTGGACTAGAGTCCCCAAAAACAGTGGGCCTTCTTGAGAGGTTACACAAGCCCCCCTGACGAGCCGAGCCGGGAATCCTGAGGTTCCGGCTCGAGGCGAGCCGAGCCGGCTCGACCCCAAACGAGCCGAGCCGAGCCAGGCTCGGCTCATGCCCATGTCTATTTAGGAAAGTTGGTCTTTTCCAGCATCAGTAGCAATGAGAGGGAGTCGCGTAGGTAGGTTGGCTGTTGAAGCACCAGTGGTCGAAGTTCCGCATCCAACCAACGGCTAACATTCGAAGTCACCCATGAATGCGAAGCTGCGATAGGCCGCCCCACGAGTTTCTTCTTGTGTAGCTTCGGAAGGATGTAGAACGCCGCCGGTCGCCATCCTCCGCGCGGTTTGTCAAAGAAAATTTTCCACAGGCTCTCGGGAAAAGGAGGTCCCCACACGCTTTGCAGATCACGCAGCTTCCGCACGACGTCGGCGGTAGATCTTGATGAACTGGAGTGTAGGTCGTCGCGGGTGGCCAGACATCTGAGACCAGGCAAGCGGGTGGCCAGACATCTGAGAAGGCCAAGGGACCAAAAAACGGCAGAGGCGGCCCCGGAAAAGGGCCGCGCAAGAACTAACCAGTCACGACTTGGCGCTCCGCTGGTTCGGACAGTTGACAGTGCGGCAGCTGTCGACACGGATCTGGAACCGGGGAGTACATAACCTCAGCTCCAAGGTCTTGTCTTCGGACAAGAAGAAGGGGCTGGG